CACTGCTATCTGGAAGGAACATGGACTACTTACCACTAAAGGAGGGTCCATAACTAACCCAGGTTATTTTATGGCCTTACTAAAGGCCTCCCACCTCGGAGACCAGCATGGGACTGATCCAGACCCCCTGAATGTGAGAGTCAGTGAGGAGGCCTGGGCAACCTATGGGGTCCTGAGCAGTGGATCAGTGTTTATCCCTGGAATACAAATGGACTTTGTATGTCCATAGCACAAAGAGGGATGCTCTCTCAGCCTGGACTCTTAGGGGAGTGCCTGGACCCTACCCTGAGTGAAATGACAGACTCTAGATATCCCCTATGTGGAAGGAATTGGCAATATGGTGGGAGGATGGTGGGGATGGGGGGTGCGGGAGGAGGGGAGGGAGAGGGAACTGGGATTGACATGTAAAACAAGCTATTTAAAATTAAAATAATAAAAAATATATTAAAAAGACTTACAGAACTACAAGGAGAAATATAAACAAGTACATTTGAATTACAATATGGGTGGGATGTGAGGACAGAATTCTACAGTGATATTTTTTATGACCTGTAAAGGAATCACTATACACCTTTCAATAGTAACTCTGAATATTAATGGTCTCAGTCCCCCAGTCAAAAGACACAGACTAGTAGACAGGATCAAACAATGGAAACCATCTATTTGCTGACACCAAAAAACATACCTCACATCAAAAGACAGACACTATTGTCTAAGTTTGCTTTCTAATACTGTAATAAAAATACTGACCAAAAAAAAAAAAAGCCTCCCACCTCCCCAAAGCTATAGGGATTATTCACTGCTGGTCTCAGCAGACTGACAACTCCATTATCTATAGGGGCAACAACCGGGCTGATGAAGCAGCTAGGGCCGCAGCCCTCCGAGACCCAGATCTACCTCACCCACCACAGGGAGTTCATACACCACAACCCACCTCCTCACAGTCACTCCTGACACTCGACAAATTCTGTCCTGTCTACACCAGCTCTTTCACCCCAACAGTCAGGCTCTGTCTCATTTTGTCAAGGCCTACCTCCAACCCACTCCTGAGAACTTACATTTCTTAAGAACTATCACTGCCTCCTGTAAAACCTCTTAGATGTCAAACTCCAGGTATTCTAACCCCCCTTTTCCCACCCACCAGGCTAGAGGCTTCCAGGGCCTGACTGGCAACTTGACTTTACCCACATGCCTGTAGTCAGGAGAGTTAAGTATCTCTTGGTACTAGTTGATACTTTCTCAGGATGGGTAGAAGTATTTCCTACCACTAACAAAAGGGCCCAGACAGTCTGTGACATCCTTCTCAGGGAAATTATTCCCCAGTTTGGGATTCCAGCCTCTCTTCAGTCAGACAATGGTCCTGAGTTCACCTCTCAGATCTCTCAAACCCTGTCTAAAGCTCTTAACATTTCATATTCCTTATTATCCTCAATCCTCAGGAAAAGTGGAGCGTACTAACCGTTCTTTAAAAAAAAAAAATGTTCTTGTTAAAACGTCACAAGAACTTCACCTTGACTGGGTAAAACTCTTGCCTCTGGCTCTTTTTAGGCTCAGGGCTTTTCCCAAACGACCCCTTTTCATCTCACCCTTTGAGCTCAAGTATGGGCGGCCAGCTCTAACACCTGGCCTCTCACCTAAAGCCTCACCTCTCCCTGACCACCTGCTTACACCCTTACTCCATCATCTCCGTTCCCTCCTACGGAACTTACTAACCACTCCCTACCGCAACCATGTGCCAACTCCTGTACATCCCCAATTAATATCGGGGATCAGGTCCTTCTCTCCCCCCCTGACCATCGCCCCTCGTCCCTGTCCCCTAAATGTCGGGACCCCTTCAAGGTAATTCTTGTCACCCCAACAGCTGCTAAGCTTGAGGGCCTTCCCCACTGGATTCACTTATCCCATCCCAAGCCCCTTACCTCACCTAAAACTCACTCCTCATACACAGCCACTGGAACAGGACCTTGCTCCCTTAAGCTTCGGAGGACACCGAGATCAACTACTTTGCCTCCTATTTCAGAGGAATAAGGGTCCTACAATCACACTTAGTCAAACTGGGGCCCCCATATACTTTACTTCCTGTCTTCAGGTTAATCTAAACTCTCCCATCTCCAATTACTCATCAATAACTCCAACTAATTAGCTGTTGTTACAGAAATGCCAGCCAAGGCCATGGATCCACAAGTACAAAGACCACCAAACGCATGTGCCTCCTCAGTACTGGTAACCAAAAAAATTCCTCACAGCCTCAACAACAATACAACAACCAGAGGATAAACTATTAATTCAATTCTAACAGGATACTAAAAACCAAACAGTACTACTATATGGTACTCTTGTTGTGCTAAAAATGTCTGTCAGGTTTAAGAATATTAATGCTTTCAGCCAAGGTACTTCTAACATGCTACTAATATGTCTAATACTTGTGTTTTTACAAACTCAAAGGATTCTTATAAATTCCAGGAAGCCAAATCAGACCCATCCAAACAGGTCAGATCCACTCCAGATATTCAACCTCTCCCTGGTCCTGGGATTCCCTTCCCTTATCTTGGGACCCCTCAGGAATCTTCCCCTCAAATACCAGGACCCAAGAAATTTTTTTTACCTAACTTTGTCCTCTACTAACATCTTGCCAGATCTACAGAGGTGCCAGAGAGTTCCATACAGCCTGGACTACAGAGAGTCCCATACAGCTTGGACTACACTAGAACAACCAGTGTGGCAACACCCCAATTTTCTCAGGTTCCCCCAAAGAAGATCGATGCCCCCAAGTCAGCAGGAAGCATTCTTAAGAACTCCACATCATTATTCCTTGATTTGCCAAGCCAAACAACCCACCTTTATAATAAGCATAAGAGGTGGGATTGTAGGGGCTCAGACATTTTATTATCTCCGCCCCTTGACGACCAGGCACGCCCAGTGATGCGGCTACATCATCACTATGTCACTCATCTCGGGACTCAGTGCGCATGTACACCATCCCCTTTATAAGTCACCTCCAACCCCCCTTCTCTCTCTCTCTCTCAGCTCTGCACGGGTTGGTTACCTCTCACCCCCCTTCCCCTCCCTGTCTACCAATAAAACTCCACGTGGGATCATTGAGTCAGTTTGTGTCTCCTTACTGGGTAAACCTAGACATTTTAACAACACATATGAGATTTATCTTTCAAATATGCTCAGTATACTCATACAACATTCCCTATAATAACATGCTAATATTAAGATTAAAGGGCTCACAACTCAGGGTGGGCTAATCAACATATCGAAGCTAGCTAGCTGCTTGGTTATGGGAGCTGATTTGTCGTTGGCTCCTTAACACATCTTGCAAGTATTACATTATTCAAAGTCACAAAAAGTGGTTTCCAAGTTACACAAAATGGTTTCCCTTATGTTCCTAACAGAGTTGTAAAGCAAGATTTAGTTCTTTGTAGCAAAGCAGTTATGGCTTACTACACACATACATATAGCCACATTGTTATGGTGGAAGTTCCACCATAGCCCCCTCCCCCTTCTCCCTCCAAACCCTGCTGCTTCTCAGAAAGCCGGCCAAATAATGACCCGTCTCTCAGAGATGCTCAAGACCACTGCCACAGGGTATTTAAATTTCCTCCCAGAAACCGGATTTTCCGGTCTCCCTTTCCTGTCTTCTCTCTGGGGGGCTAAAAAGTCATCGGGAGTGTTGTATCCTTTAAACGTGGGTTTTTCCTAATTCAGTTTGATTTGGTTTAATTGGATTACTGCATAGGCAAAGAGGCTTATCTGGGTGCAGAAACTTTTCAGACTTGTATTTCAAGATATCTTCAGATATAATTTGATGGCACTCCCACACATAGTTTGAACTAACTTCATCTTGTTTGTGAAGTGAAATTTTATTTCAGGTAATTGGCTTAATTCAAAGGACTAAATCGCTTCCGTGCAACATGGGCTAGTTTAAATAAGAGCAAGGCAAAGACTGGCATTTCTAGTTCAAATAGGTGGCTTCCACAACCTAGAGAAAGATGGGGGTCAATATGCAGACAGAAGTCCAGTTAGTTTTCTAGAGGATTACGTGCATTTCAAAGAGAGGGGAAAGCACTCTCTCGCTAAACTAAATGCCCCCAAAAGGGAGAGAGTGACCGTCTCTTCTATTCTCACCAGGAAGAGGTCATGTTGGCTGGTGGCAGAATGGAGGCGACTTTGTAAAGCTTTAGCAGTGGGTGGAAGCATGAAGCTTGATCACCCCTTAACGGGAACTGGAAATCTAAGGCAGGATTTTCAAATTATCCGGTTTTAAGATAAAGGATGGGGCCAGGCATTGGTGGTGCACACGTTTACTCCCAGCACTCAGAAGGCAGAGGTAGGCAGATCCCTGTGTTGGAGGCCAGCCTGGAACGGAGCTAGTTCCAGGTCAGCCTAAACCAAACCAAACAAACAAACACAATTTTAGGGGATGGGATTTAGAGCGAAAGGATGCAAAGAAAAGGGTGCGCCATCCTTCCCACCACACCACAGCGAGCATGGCCGCAGCCCTACGCAGAGACCTGAGCCACCGCGGCACCCAGGAGGCACTAAAAGTTCGGTTCCCAGCAGCAAAACGAGCAGCTGTGGACAAGACCGCAGCAACGTGGCCGCAGGTTGTCCCAACTTGGCTAACTAACACCGCCGCCCTCCCTCCCCCCCATTGCTGTCATCTGCGCAGGCGCAGCCTTAGCTCCCGGCAGGTGATCGATCCGAGAGCTACCAGCCAGTCCGCCCTGCCCCAAATCACGTAAGACCACGCAACACAACGCCCGGAACCGCCTCTGCAGCTGGACGTGCGCGCGCAGCGCCTTCCTTGCCTGCCGGGGGCGGGGCCCACGAGGAGGCGGGGCGCGCTCGTGGCGACCATTCCGTTGATCCCTTAGACCCGCTGTTCCTGCGGGCCTGTTCCCGGGTTCCGGCCCGGCGGAGCCGCCGACTGCGAGGTGAGTGTGTTAGATTCCGGGATGTCCTCTGTCTGCTGTGCCTTGGAACGGCGGGCTGTGGTGACCCAGGCCGAGAGTGGTAGACTGGACCCTTTCGACTCTAGAGGCCGGAGTCGGGGACGAGGGGTTGGACCCTGGCAGCAAGAGTTCGTTCTCCCTGAAGCTTCGGAGGATCCTGGTTCGTCTGGGACTCTGGGGGATCACAGTGAGGACGGAGGTGGTGCAGTCAGAGAGGCCACAGCCACCCGTACTTTATACGCTGCGTGAGAGCAAGGATCCCCGTAAAGGGTGGGCAGGATGCGGAGAGCAGCGTTTCCTGGAGGCCTAGCCTAGGAGTCTGGACCCTTGGCTACTTGGCGACCTTGGTGAGGATGCTTGGCCCACCCAGAGGCGGCCGAATGCCAGTGAGTTACAGTGGAACATAGCAGTCACCAGGCCACAAATAGCCGCTCGACGTGACTGGTGTGTGCCCCGTGGGAGGCAAACGGGGAAATTTAACCAGGGTCTCCTTGGTGGTGAAGCCAGGTCTCCTGGAAGGACTCGAATTCCCTTCAGGGGGCAGGGCGATGTGTTAGGAAGTCACAGTTGCCCTGTGAGCATCAGGTGGAGACAGGTCTGTAGTCTTTGTCCCCAGGCTGGGACCGGGTGTTGGGTCCTGGAATCGTGCAATTAACGGGGAGCAGACCACCGAAGTCTACTAACCACAAGCAACTTTATTCAAAAATACTGCCGGGGGCAGGGAAGAAACGACACTTCTAACTAGTTTGAAAATATTTGATTTCCCGGAGAAAGAGCTATAAGCTTCTTTTATAGTCAAAGGTTATACGCAGGGCGGAGAGTACATAATGGGATTTACGGCATTTTGACTTCTCAGCTTCTAGTGCTGTTATCTGAGTTTGAGCTTGGAGATTTATGGCATCTCAGGAATGTCGACTGTGCTCGAACTCGGGGATTTACGACCTCTGATTACCAGGTGTTAGTTCAAAAAGTTAACGTAGTCCTTGGGTTCTTTAAATTGCCATTCCCTTGTCTGGGTAAATGCAGCGCCCTAATACACTCAGAAATAAGTGTATAGGATATAAGCGTGTTTTTCTTGTATGGGGACTCTGAAGAGCTCACCATTACTTCTTCAGATCCTCTTAAGTTTCCTCCATAGGCAGGTAGTGTTTCCTGTAGAGTCCTCTTCAGTCCTTCCACAGGTGCTGAATTTACAATCGCACTCCCTAGGAGAGTCTTTTCTGTGTTTGAGACTGGGTACTGTGGGTAGTGGTCTCTTGAATGAGATGGGCAGGCAATGATGGAGGAGATCAACAGAAGTGCTCTGAATGATGGAGACTTGGAAACCAAATGAACCTGGAAGATAGAGACAGAGCCCACAGAGCAGAAGACAGGAAGTTGGGCTAGCATTTTAGAGTCCAGGAGAAGAGTCCTGGGAGATATGGCAACTGCAGGGGAAACATCTTTCATTTGATGAGGCTGGGGTGAGGCATGTGTTGTTCTCAGTTAAACATAGACAGGGCCATGAGGCTTAGGTTCAAGACCCCATCAGCCAGTTAACTGGTTATCTTACTAGCTTGTCATGTGTAAGGTGAGGTTCCATCAGTGGCATTAAGGGTATGTAGGAAGCCGCTACAAGACAGCAAATGGCAGGCCAGCTGAAAGTGTTTGCATGCCCCTTAAATTAAAGCCTCGGGATAGCTGGGCCTTCCAAGAGGAGGAAGTAAAGGTTCAGAGAGGCTCTAACCTGCTCAAGGTAAAACAGTTTGTAAACACTATGGAACTTGAATTATTTCAGGAGAGTAACTCAGTTTACCGTGTATTTAAGGACATTGTAAAAGAGGACAGGGTTTTGAACTATTTTTCCAGGAAGTGCTCAACAGTTTTCAATGGTAGAAATGATTATCAAATGACAATTTCTTGCTCAAAGAACTAGACACACATTTTCCTATATCTTTGGCATATTTCTTTGAGTAGATTAGAAAGTGACCTGGAAAAAAACATTAGTAGCTGGGTGGTGGTGGTGCACACCTTTACTCCCATCCCTCAGATCTTTGTGAGTTCGAGACCAGTCTGGTCTACAAGAGCTAGTTCCAGGACAGTCTCCAAAAGTCTCGAAAAGAAAAAAGAAAAAGAAAAATGACCTGGATAAGCAAATTGTTGCCTTAGTTTCACTAAAGGTAAACTAATCATTTATGCTTATCATTGGGGAAAGTCTTACCATTATTGTTTTCCTGAGAATATTATCTCATGAAAGCTATTCAGAAACTTTTGAAAACTGCTAAGAAGTGAAGTGTAATTTGACTCTGTGTGTCTGTGTGTGAGGTTGTTTTTGTTGTTGTTCTTATTATTGTGCATATGTCTTTGTTGGGGTATGTGTTTGTGAATGCAGGTGCCTGAAAAGTTAGATCCCCTAGAACTGGAGTTAAAGGCAGTTGTGAATCACCCAATGTGGGTGCTAAGAATTAAACTTGGGTCCCCTGCAAGATCAGTATGTGCTCTTAACTGCTGAGCCATCTCTCCAGCCCTGTCTATCTGTTTTGTTTGTTTGCTTGCTTTCGTTGTTTTAAGATAGGTTCTCATATAGTTCGGGCTGGCCTCAAAATTGCTGTGTAGCTGAGATTGGTTTTGCACACCTTCTCTTCCCGTCTCTGCTTTCTAAATGCTGGGTTGTACCTGGGGTTATAGATCATGCTACCACATCCAGCTGTGATTTGAATCTTTCAATGAGAAAAGTTGGGTTTGGTAGGTACCTTTTGTCTTCTCAAGAACTAATCTACCCTCATAATTTCAAGTCCCTTTTCTTCAGGGATTATTCATGCATGAGTTTATTGATTCTTGTTTTTGTTTTCAAAGCTGTTTTTAGAAGGAAGATGGAAAGTGGCACAGTTTTGCTGGAATCCAAATCTTCACCATTGAACCTTCTTCATGAGATGCATGAGCTCCGACTTCTGGGCCATCTTTGTGACGTCACAGTCAGTGTAAAGTATCAGGGTGTCTGTGAAGACTTCATGGCCCATAAAGCAGTGCTGGCAGCCACTAGCAAGTTTTTTAAGGAAGTCTTCCTGAATGAGAAGAGTGTAGATGGTACCAGGACTAATGTCTGTTTAAATGAAGTTCAGGTTGTTGACTTTGCTTCCTTTCTGGAGTTTGTCTATACTGCCAGGGTGCAGGTAGAGGAAGGTCGGGTGCAGCGGATGCTAGAAGTGGCTGAAAAGCTAAAGTGTTTGGACCTGTCCGAAACATGCTTTCAGCTGAAGAAGCAGATGCTGCAGTCAGTCCTTTTGGAATCGCAGAATTTCTCTGAGTCTCAGGAGGTGGAGGCCAGCAGTGGCCCCCAGGTGAGTGTGACCCCCAGCTCCAAAACGAGCGTACCAGGGGAGGAGGCTCACTCCAGTGGCCTTGTAGATACCTCTGACTATCCAATAGAGAGATTTGATAATGACCTATTGCCAGAAATGCCATCCAGGAAGTGCAAGGAGAAACTGGACAAGAAGAAAGATGTGGCTAAGCCTCCCTACCCTAAAATCAGAAGACCTAGTGGGAGGCTGGCTGGAAGGAAGGTGTTTGTGGAAATCCCTAAAAAGAAATATACACGAAGGCTCCGAGAACAGCAGAAGAGCGCAGAGGAAGCTGCAGAGAATGACAGGTGTCCCCAGAGCCAAAGCCCAGACACTGAAAGGATGGAGACAGAGCCAGCTTCCAAAAGTGAGGCTTGCCCTAGTGACGTGAAACTGGAGGAAAGCCAGCAGAAAGTGGAGGGCGAGAAGGAAGAGGAAGAAGGGAAGGATGGAGAGAAGAGGAGTAACTTCCAGTGCACAGTGTGTGAGAAGACCTTCCTGTATGAGAAGAGTTATCTGAAACATATCAGGCACCACCATGGTGTGGCCACGGAGGTAGTGTACCGATGCGACACCTGTGGCCAGACCTTCGCCAATCGCTGCAACCTGAAAAGCCACCAGCGCCACGTGCACAGCAGCGAGCGCCACTTCCCGTGTGAGATGTGTGCAAAGACATTCAAGCGTAAGAAGGACGTGAAACGGCACGTGCTGCAGGTGCATGAGGGTGGTGGCGAGCGGCACCGATGCGGCCAGTGTGGCAAGGGCCTGAGCTCCAAGACTTCTCTGCGGATGCATGAGCGCACACACACCGGCGACAGGCCCTATGGCTGCACCAAGTGTGAAGCTAAGTTCTCCCAGCCCTCAGCACTCAAGACCCACATGAGGTGCGGCTGCCTGGGAACATTGCTATGTGGAGCAGGGCTGGCCTGCATGCAGGGACTTGGGTTCCCAAGTGCTGAAGTGCACTGGTGGTTGGAGATGGCTTTAGTACTTGGACCAGCATGTCTGTGTCTGTAGACCTGCATTTCCTCCCTGGTGCTGTCTAGGACTTGGGCAATTGAGGCAATTTTGGATCCTCTTTGGAGGTGTGGAGGTCTGGGAAATGGTTCTTCAACTTCTCATTTGGCCATTCCTCCCAAGCATAGAGGCCAGGGCACAACAGAGCCATCCAGAACTCTGGGTGCTGTGTGCCTGGTCTCCAGGTGGCTTGAGGTCTCAAGGTGCTCTGTACTGAAATAAGAACTGGGCCTTTTCTTCACTCAGTTCCACTGAAGTCCAGTCAGATGACACGTAGTATTGTAGGATGCTTCTCTAGTGGTCTTTTAGTCCTTAGGGCTTGGAAAGTGCCATTCATTGGTTGATGTCTAAGAATTAGGATCTAAGAATCGGACAACACTTTAATTTTTAAAAAGATGTATTTATTTTTATTTCATGTATAGTCTTTTGCCTGCATGTACATATGTGTACCATGTAACTGCCTGGTGCACTCAGAGATCATATGGCAAATGTCAGATCCCTTGAAACTGAAGTAACCAATGGTCATGAGCCACATGTGTGTGCTGGGAACTGAACCAGTGTTGGTTTTCTGCCAGAGCAGCAAGTGCTCTTAACTGCTGAGCCATCTCTCCAGCTGCTGAGTAATGCTTTCTATGTTTTCAGACTGTAGGTGGATAGTGAGTTCTTAATCTAAGTTTCCTTATCTTTTTTTCTTTGTTGTTGTTTTAGACCAGCAGCTCTCACCCTGTGAATTGCAAGCCCTATGGGGGTTGTCCAATGACCCTTCCACAGAGGTCACATCAGATAGCCTGCATATCAGATATTTACAATACAGTTCATAACAGTAGCAAAATTACAGTCATGAAGTAGCAATGAATATAATTTTATGGTTATGGGTCACCACAATATAAGGAGCTGTATTAAAGGATTCACAGCATTAGGAAGGTTGGGAGTTGGGAACCACTTTTTCAGACAGTGTCTTACTGTGTAGTCCTTGTTGGTCTGAACTTGACTATGTAGACTGTGTTTGCTTTGGATTTTCAGAGATAGGCCTGCCCTTGCCTCCCCCAAGTGCTGCGATCAAAGGCATGTGCCACTGTATAGTTTTAAGTATATATGTTCTCATTCCAGTTAAGCAGTTGGATTTTCTACTGTACTCTGCCTTTGCTTCCAACCTAGAACAGACTGTCGGGAGGAACATGGTGGCTGTCATCTTTCAGTTTGCCTGAGTTCAAAGTACTTCGTGGACTCAGCAGATCATGGCTGATTGCTACACAATGCTGGTTGAAATTGAAATACCCCTGTGTGGTTCTCAGCAGATTTTTCTCTTTAGACTGGTCATATGTTAGAACTTGATGGTAAAATGTTTGGTCATATGGTACATTGTCAGCAGTAGTTCCTAAGGTTATTCCAGATGAGGGAGCTTCAAATGTTAAGTGATACTCTTTAACAGGAAAATATGCAAAGGCATACTCTCTGCCTTCCAGTGCTTTACAGCATAAATAAGGCCTAGGAGAAGTGTAGGAGCTGCCCAGTGGTTCTCCTGTGGTTTGTGCACCAAAGTGGAGATAACAGTCCTTGGGTCTTGAACAGAAACTCCATTTGTGTTGGGATGTATGGTAAACTTTTCTTGTTTGTTTTTTTCAAGATGGGGTTTTCCTGTATAGCCCTAGCTATCCTGGAACTTGCTCTATAGACCAGCCTGGTCTCAAAATCAGGTTCAGCTGTGTCTGCCTACCAAGTGCTGGGTTTAAAGGTGTGGGCCACCAGCCCCCAGCATATGGTGAACTCTTGATCTGTCCCATCAGTCATTTTTCTGAGCTCTCTTGGAGGAAATGGTTTTTGCACAATACAGAGGAAATTGGAAATTGTATTACAAAGTGACCTTTGAAATATACCCTGAGTTATCATCTGAATGTTGTACTTTCAGAATTCATACAGGGGAAAGACCTTTTGTCTGTGATGAGTGTGGTGCAAGATTCACTCAGAACCACATGCTGATTTATCATAAAAGGTGCCACACAGGTAAATACCACGCTCTTGTGATTGACTGTCTTTCCTAGCTTTAGAAGGAAACTGCAGTTGCTTATTAGAAGCTGGCATCCGCCACAGCAGTGCAGGTTACAAAGCTTTTCCATCGAGTGAGGAAGGATCGGATATACCTGCTGCCTGCAATGCTGCTGTACATATGCCATGGTGTGTGCCACGAGGTGCTACAATGGGGCACACAGGTCTTAGACATCTAGATATATGAAACAGTTCCTATTGCAACTCTTAAGTCCATTTCCAAGAGGCTGTCCTAAAGAAAATATCCAAAGCCTGAGAAAAGCTGTGTTGTCAGCTCTCTTCTTGCTGTGTTTAGTAATGTGATGGGCCAACTACAAGGACATGTTTCAGTAGGCTGGAAATCCATGTCCCAGCTCATGACATGGCCTCAGAGGAACAACTCTTGAATTATATGGCCACATCTGTGCTTGAGTGTTGACTAGAACAATGAGCAGTTGAGCATGGTCAGTGCCTGCTGTTGAAAACCTGGGCAGGGCCAAGAACAAATACATATGTGATAAATAATCCTACTAAGAGATATCATCTCTTTCTATAAATCTTTGTGGTAGTTTCCCTTGAGAGGGACAGTTGAAGCTGGCTTTATTCTGGTTCAGCATTGCATTCCTGTGGTTGAAAATTTGGATGTAACCTGTACAGAACACAGAACCTAGTCCATCACTGTGTACTGTACTCACTCACCCAGCTCTTCCTTTGCTTACACTTTCCTAAGCACTCCCACAGGCCTCAGGTTCAAGTACAGTCCTGACAGATGAGGAGTGGACTGTGTGTTACTGGAATGCAGAACACCCATGGAGGCTGTGAGGGAGTCATTGTCACATCACAGATTTAACTCGACTTGGTCATTGCATATGACTGTTAATGTATTAAAATTTTATGAAAGACAATGCTTTAATGCTGTGAAATCAGGAGCACACCACTTGACTGTATGAGTGAGTTGGGAGAATAAACAAAGAACTTAAAATGACAAAAAATGAGGTGTTATTGAAATTGTCTTGCAGTCAACTTGACTGGTGTCGCTAGCCTAGAAGCCACTTGGTAATCCATTGCTTGGGACTTTTATTCTGATAAAGAGCTGCAGAAACACTTGTTGAAAATAATTCAACAAATCCCCAAAAGTTGTGAAATTTTTCTGTTTTCAGTAACTAAATTTATTAAATTTGAGCTGGCTGAACAGTTATCATTTATTCTAGTCCAGTGAATTGCTGTTTGGATTTCCCTGAATATTCACTTTTAGCAAGTAGCAAGTAGTATTTGTTGTTTGATTAGAAATTATCTGATGCTGCTTGCCAAGGTGTAGAGAGAAGAGCGGTTTTTCCAGGTGTTTTTAATGACTGTTGTTTCTACTTTTGTCTCATCTTTCCATGTAGGTGAAAGGCCTTTTATGTGTGAGACATGTGGCAAGAGTTTTGCTTCTAAGGAGTACTTGAAACACCATAATAGAATCCACACTGGATCTAAACCCTTTAAATGTGAAGTGTGCTTGCGGACCTTTGCCCAGCGGAATTCCCTTTACCAGCATGCTAAAATCCACACAGGTATGGATGCCTGCATAGTACCAGAAAAGAGTTCAGTCTGGCAAGGAAAACAGTTCACAAGTTTTAGATTTATTAGAAAGTCATGCTGAGAATGTTGCTTTGGTGCTCCTGTGCCTGTAACAGCTTCCTTAGGAGGACTGATAGTGGCTTAGAGTTACCCAGGGTTCATTCTCTTGTGGCGGGAACACCATGGTCAGGTTCATGACAGCAGGAACCTAGGGAGGTTCCTCACATTGTGTAGACTAGAGGGGGCTAACCTGCTTCCAGCCAGCAAGGAAATAGCCAGTCCCATAAAGATTCCACAGCCTTCAAAACTGAGCAAAGTAATGTTTTGAAGTTAAAGTATAATTACATATGATAGTATTTTTAAACCTTTTCAGCCCCTCCAGGGTTTCTGATTGAACATAGAGCTTTGCACATCTATATGAATGCTGTGCCACTACATTAGTTAGAAAACCCTATTTTTGAGGTAGATTTTCTTATAGCCCTTGAACTTGCTGTATAGCCCAGAGTGGCCTTCAGTTTCCAATCTTTCTCCACCCCTTAAGTACTAGGGTTACTGACTTGGCTTCCAACCTAGTTTTTATTCTTTTGAGTTTGTAGTTCTGGGTTTTTTGTTGTTGTTGTTGTTTGTTTTAGTTAAGTTTATTTTGTGAATGTATGTCTGTGGTTCACTGAGTACCCTGACACATGTGGAGGTCAGAGGACAATTTGTGGCAGTTGGTTCTTGCCTTTTACCATGTGGGTCCTGGAGATTGAACCCAGGTAGCAGGTACTTTAACTCACTGAACCACCTTGTAGACACAGTTTCTGGTTTTGATCAAGTGAAAAGTGAGAAGACTTTAGTATGCAAATGGGGGACAGTCTGTTGGCAGCATAGGGTATTTATTGAAAGGCACATAACTTCCTGTGGAATGACAGCTTGAATATGTATGTTTGTATGAATCCACGTCTTTCAGATATAAACGAGGATAAAGAATGGGTGTTAGTGTACACACATGCACACAAACATGCATTTGTTACTAGAACAGTATATTACTATGGATAGTAAGTTTGTATTTCACAGATAGTGTCAGCTGCCTGCACAAAATTGACCTATTTTTGGTACAATCGTAAGTTCTTGGTTATTGTATATTGGCACCTCTGCCAGGTGCCTTACGTGAGTCACTGAAAATAGCTTCCCCTTTTGGGGAGTGCTCAGATTATCCAGGGTACGCAGATGTGTATCCACAGTTAAATAAAGTGGACAGAAGAAGTCATTGGGTAGTTTCCTTCTCTTCCTGTGTTCAGGAGAGCGGCCTTATTGTTGTGACCAGTGTGGGAAGCAGTTTACCCAGGTGAATGCCCTCCAGCGCCACCATCGCATCCACACGGGAGAGAAACCCTTCATGTGCAATGCATGCGGACGGACATTTACTGACAAGTCCACTCTCCGGAGGCACACCTCAGTAAGTGATGGGTGGGCTGTTTAAAAACAAAGCCCTTCTGGTCTGTAGATTGCTAACCCTGAATATGTGTCATTATTCCAGTCCAGAGGGTCAGAGGTGGTAACAGGTTCTCTCCTTAGGTGTCCTGCAGTGACATCCAGGTAATAAGGTGAAGGGCTAAGGCTCCTTACCGCCAGATCTGTGCCAAACACTTTTGTGCAGTGGTTGCTGTACAAAGCATTTATTTGGTAATTAGTTCAGGGGAGGCTCACTAGAAAACAGATTTAAAAGTCAGGGAGAACTTTTGTTTCATTTAACATTTACTTTTTGATCGAGAGACAGTCTAGCTCTGTAGTCCAGACTGACCTTGGACCCATACATAACCCTCCTATCTCTGCCTCTCATATGTTAGTATTAGTTTTCAATTATTTTAGGGTTGGGATTGTAAGGAGGTGTTCAGACTTGGGCATCCCTTTCAGATAAGTTTAGAATTTAGATGGGATAGATATGTTTAGCTTAGGATATAAGTAGATTATAACTTACTTATCACCCTCTATGTATATATGTTGTATATGTTTGAGTTTGATCAAATTTGAATCTATTTAGACTGAAAGGGGAATTGTAGGGGTGAGCCCCACAAAGCTATCCGCCCTAAGGCGGGGATAAGGAAATTTAGCACAGGTGAAGATAAAAGGAAGTGAAAGAGAAACGAATCCCTCTTCTCTTCTCCTCTGGAAGCTGTCACGCTTTCCGTCCTCTTATCTTGTATGTGAATAAATATATTATATTCCATATTGCATTGACCTATGTCACCCATATGCTGGGATTATGGTTTTGTTTTGTTTTTGCTTTTATTAAATGGGCATGTACCACAGTGCCAGGCCCTGAAGAGAACATGTTGTTTTAAAAGATGGGTGTGTTATTAGTGTTTGTAAATTGGGAGACTTTGAGACACATGTAGTGACTTTGTTTTATTTTTAGATACATGATAAGAATACACCGTGGAAGTCTTTCCTTGTCATTGTTGATGGCTCACCGAAGAATGATGAAGGACAGACAGAACAACCCGATGATGAATATGCATCGCCCAAATTTTCAGATAGATTGCTATCTTTTGGTGAAAATAGCCATTTTAACAACCTATTGGAAGTACAAAGCAATGTGCCTGCCATGCAGGAGAATAGTTCTACAGACACTGCTTGCAAAGCAGTGGTGTCTCAGGATGCTCTGCTCACCACCAGCATCAGTGAGCTTGGTGAGCTGACTCCACAGCCAGGCTCAATGACTGCACACCTTCCCTCATTGACCAACATGGAGTGAGAGCTTCAAGCTGTGTGCTGAGCAGTCTGTGTGATTGCTGTATTCTGGGTGATGCCAGGGGCTGAGAAAAAAGTTGTCTGTGGGAAGATACAGGCAAGACTGGCCTTGAATATTTCCCCAAACTTCCGTGACCTTGCACGTCCGTTTCACACTTAAAGCTTTTCCATAAACATTTTGATCTGCATGATCTCAGCTATATTTCATCAACAAACATGGCAGTTAGCACAACTCACTTAGCCCTGGCGTAGCTGTACATGCCAATCACACTTATGCTTGATTCTCTTGATGTCTAAACCACTGCTTGTCTTAATCACAGAGTACACAGCCTTGACCCAACTTAGGAAAGTGCTGTCCGCAGTCTCTTGGTCTCGCCCTGCCTTATACTTCCATGTATATTTACTTCACTCTGATCCTTTTAGGGAATTTTCCTACAAAGTTAAAGTAAAACTGGGCTGTATTTCAGCTGTTTCTTCCTTACTGAGATGAAAGCAAATAAGATTGTTCTGGGGACACTAAGATGGAACTGAAGATTGCTTTTGTTCCTCCCCAATCCCCTATTTGTATGCACAAAAAGGAATGACAGATTGAATATTTTCAGTGTAGTACCTCTGAATATTTTCAGTGTAGTACCTCACCATGTGTGCAGGCAGGGAGTCTGTCATAAAATCCAATCTGGGATGAGATGTGGCTGTTCAACTTCATTCCCTAAATCAGATTAAATCGAAGCTGTCCTACCAAAGAATCTAGCAAAACAGTTGTCTCGTTTGCAGAGGTGTGAGAAATAAAGAGGAGGCATCAGAGCGTTTTGACTAGTCACATTTTCACAACCAGCATGTTGAGTGAGCCTGACAAATCTCAAGTACTTCTGCCAGACTTTCTATAATGTTCAGAGTCCCCAAGGCACCATTTCCACAGTGCAAGGTGACACAGACTAGTACTTGTTACAAATTCACTTCTTTAGAAGCATGTAAGAATCTAGAGCAGTGGTTTTCAAACTGGGTAGTGACTCCTTTGAGGGTCAAAGGACCCTTCCATGGGTTTGCATATTATATTTACATTACAATTCAGAATAGCATAATTACTGTTGTTTAAGTAGCAGCAAAAGTTAACTTTAGGGTTGGTGGTCACCAAAACATGAGGAACTGTATTAAAGGGTCTCAGCATTAGGAAGGTTGAGAACCACTAATCTAGAGGGTACCAGAAGCCTTGGCTTGTTCAATTTCTATGCCTTAACAAGTGGAGAAAGAACCAGAAACGTCTCAAATGTTCCTTTGGCTTTCTCATGAATTTAATTATTGCTCAACAAACTTCACTACAGGAAATGCATTTTGTGACATTTGCTATTCCTGATATGGTTGTAGGGCCTTGGATATGTGACCTTTGGCCACCTGTGACCCTTAAGCATTAATTTTTTTTGTTTGTTTGTTTTTCGAGACAGGGTTTCTCTGTGGCTTTGGAGGCTGTCCTGGAACTCACTTTGTAGACTAGGCTGGCCTCGAACTCACAGAGATCTGCCTGCCTCTGCCTCCCGAGTGCTGGGATTAAAGGCGTGCGCCACCAACGCCCGGCTCTTAAGCATTAATTTTAAGAGCGCCTTAATGGGAGAATTATTCTGCTTTGAACTTACTAAGCTTGCTGTGAGAACACTGGTTTCTAAGAGGAAGGTACCTTAAGTTCAGAGTGAAGAAGACAGAGCATATGATAGAAACTAAGGGTTCTTCCCCAATGCTAACTTGTGGTAACACCTTCAAGAAGCTGTTGAAGCCACCAAAAGGTGTTCCAGGAAGTTGTAATATTTCAAACTTGCTCTTGAAGGTTCAGGGCTGAATTATCTCATATTCAGTTATGACCTGGCTATCCTAGTTGTGTTTACAGACAAAAACAAAAGACTAGTGACTGGCACATGACCATTTTAACTGGTAAGAGCAAACCTGCCCAGCTGATAAACTTATGGAATAAAGTCATCTTGATGAGAAGGAATTTAAACAATAGATTATTTTGTTACCTATTGAAGAACTGACTTGAATTTGTTTCTTTAGAAGTTCTAAATAAAATTGTTTAATGTGTTAATAAATTTCTTTGTAAATGTTCTGCAATTCTAAATTTACTATAACAGGTTCTGTAGAAAGATTCTAATTTGTTTGATATCATGAACACTAAAATTTAAAATCATGGTCTGTGGACTCATATAATTATCACAGGCAACTGACTTAAGTTCTTGAATTCCACAGTGGCAGACAGAATGGGCCCTTCTCAGCAGTGGTCAGTGTTGAGCTGGGGAGTGTATGTAAGGGCACTGTAACCTTCTCTGCAATGCAGAATCACAGCAGGCATTAAGTGACATGTTCCTTTATACATTTTTGTCTCTTTACCCAAGAGAGGAAGGTGATCCTTAAGGGCATGAAACTTGGAGTTATCAACACTTTGTGATGTCTTCCTATCAATCCAAGCAGTTACTATGTGAGAAAGCAAGATTGCTTTCAGTGGGTTGGTCCCAAATGTATTTTGACAGCACACTGCTCTCAGCTCATTAGTAAGGGAAGTGGGGACCTGCTGCCATTCCAACCTTTTTGTTTTGTTTTTGTTTTTTTGTTTGCTTTTTTTTACGAGACAGGGTTTCTCTGTATTGTTTTGGAGGCTGTCGATCCAGCCTGGCCTCAAACTCACAGAGATCTGCCTGCCTCTGCCTCCTGAGTGCTGGGATTAAAGGCGTGCGCACCACCGCCCGGCCATTCCAACCATTTTTAACACCAGTTCTTCCAGGCTGCACACAGGGCTCAAAGGGAAAGTCCACAGTGTAACACGAACTGAGACTTTTTTTAGGGGGTTAAGAAAAGAGAAGCTCATACATTCTCTTGATTGTTCTCTTCTTTAGTCTTTTATGTTGTGTCTTTTGTTCTTCATGGCTAATATTCCCAAGAAGATCTTTCAAGAAATATAGGAGTCACACACAAAGGTCACATTCCATTTTTTTAAAATTAGAAACAAGCTTGTTTTACATGTCAATCCCAGTTCCTTCTTCCTCCCCTCCTTCCCTGCTCCCCACCAACTCCCTATCAATCATCCCCTTTCTGCTCCTCAGGGAGGGTGAGGCCTTCCATGGGGGATCTTCAAAGTCTGTCAGGACCCTTCCCCGTGTGTCTAGGCTGAGAGTATGCCTCTATGTGGAATGGGCTCCCAAAGTCCATTCGTATACTAGGGATAAATACTGATCCACTACCAGAGGTTCCATAGATTGCCCAGGCCTCCTAACTGACACCCACATTCAGGGGGGTCTACATCAATCCTATGCTGGTTTCCCAGCTACCAGTCTAGGGCCCATGAGCTCCGGTAAGCTATTTCGGTGGGTTTTACCAGCCTGGTCTTGACCCCTTTGCTCATCACTCCTCCCTCTCCACAGCTGGATTCCAGGAGTTCTGCTCAGGGTTTAGCTGTGGGTTCACGCCTGTAGATTTGCTGAAGGAGGCAGAGGCAGGAGGATCAGGAGCTCGAGGCCAGCCTGGGCTACACATTCCAATTCTTAAGTGATTAAAAACAGTCATCCCTGCAACTCATATGCAATATATCTAAATAATGTCACAGATCGAGGAAGGAGCATTTTTCTTTGCCAACTCTTATTGGCAGGCTGTAAACTGTGATAGTAAATCATTTGTTATCTATGTAAAGAGGTCATCTCAAGGAATTTTAAAGGAGTTATAAACCTAAACTACTTAGAAGTCTAAGAAAAACAAGGAAATTGTGTGCTATAACCTATACTTCTGAGTGTATAAACATCTTGAACTAACATTCTATGATCAGAAGTCATAAATGCTAGGCTTTCTCTCTTGGACTCAGAGAGTGTTGTGTTCAGACAGAAAGGTGTCATAAATTCTTTAGTTTGGGTTCAGGTTCAGGTTACTGTAAATCTTAGGAACAGCTAAGTTGGCACTTCCCAAGGCATGGTGACACTAATAATACTTTAAATCTCAAAAGGAACTTTCTATCCTGAATGTAACTCAAAACCATAAAAAGAAACTTACAACTCTTTTTTGGGGGCTGTAAGTCAAATTATTTTTTGTAGCCCCAACCAGCTAGAATCTTTTTTTTTAAAGGTTTATTGTTTGTTAATTTATTTGTTACGTATACAGTGTTCTGCCTGCAGGCCAGAAGAGGGCATTATTACAGATGGTTGTGAGCAACCATGTGGTTGCTGGGAATTGAACTCAGGACCTCTGGAAGAGCAGTCAGGGCTCTTAACCTCTGATCCATCTCTCCAGTTAGAATATCTAACCCCCCACACAGTGTTTCTTTTTCTAAACCTTGGGTTTTTGTGGGAACACCAGACCTTGAGCAGAGACCCACTTCCCCTTCTGCTTGGGAGTAGGCAGCTGTAAGACAATGTTTACTAAAAACATGTTTACTAAAAACAATACAATGCCCGGGGCAATAAGTTCCTGGAAAAGGCCTGCCCACAGAAACCACCCTGACCTCGACCTTGTCCAAAGACTAACCGCCCCTTCTGCCACGCCCAGATCAATTTTTGGTGTCAGAGCAGAACCAGCCAGGGGAGAGGAGAGAGCAGAAGCTTTTCTGGAAGGAGCTTTTCTTAGGAAGTTTTCTTGAACCTTTTTGGGGCCTGCTTAAAGTTTTCTTTACATCGTTGAACAAGTCTCTGTGTTGTCAATCCCCGACACCCTCCGCACATTCTCGGACACAGGCCGCGCAGCAGACGCGACAGGTTTTTGTTCCCTGTCACTTGCAGTTTTCCAGGACCCAACTTCTTTTTTTTTTATTTAAGATTATGTGTACAACATTCTGCCTCCATGTATTCCTGCATGCCAGAAGAGGGCACCAAATCTCATTATAGATGGTTGTGAGTCACCATGTGGTCCCTGGGAATTGAACTCGAGACCTCTGGAAGAGCAGTCAGTGCTCTTAACCTTTGAACCATCTCTCCAGCCCCAGAACCCAACATTTTTATACATAAAAAACAGTTGTTTGAACTTTGAGTCTTGAGGTTACATACCCATATCATAAAACTGAGGTTAGGAATTTGTGCAGAGTTAATCATTATCCTAGGTTACCAGCAAACCTAGTAAAGAAACTTTGTGTAGCCATTAAGTTGTTTTGCACTTTTAACCCTAGCTAAACAAATCAGACAGCTCAGCTATATGTCCTTGTAAACTACATTTATTTTCTGGGAATAGTTTAATCTTAAAAAACATTAGCAAGGCATCTTGTCTAATCTAAAGCTAATTTGAAGCTTTATATCAGCTAATAGAGCACAGTTATTCTGGCAGCTGGGGAAATTCAACTGTTTTCCTAACCATCAACCTGAGCTGTGATCTAAAGAAGCTTTTAGGGGGAACTCATAGGCCATGACTGTGTAGCATTTCTTTGTATTGATTATTATTCATCAGAGTTCTGTATAAGATAACATAATAATATCAACTAGATAACACAGATTAAGGAGAGTTCATCCTCTTGACAATCCACAGATTAAAAATGCCCAGTAAATGGGGATGTACACACTGTGATACAAGGAAAACCTTCAGCCACACATGTGAAGTTACAGACAGAAGCAAAAAAATATTCCAGGGTTTGGCCAGGCGGTGTTGGTGCATGCCTTTAGTCCCAGAACTTGGGAGTGTAGATTATAATTTAACTTTAAAAAGATTTTATGTGTGTGAGTATTTTGCCTGCATGTTTATGTCTGTATACTGCATGCACACCTAGTGCCCAAGGAGGCATCAGATACCCTGGAACAGGAGTTACCCAGACAGTTGTGAACCACCGCATGGATGCCAAGAATTCAGCTAGGGTACCAGTCCTCTTAATCACCAAGTCTTGTCTCCAGGCACAACTTTAACTTGTTTAATGTTACACCACTGTAACTGATCAAGCTGGCCATTTCTGAAGCCACGCTCCAACTTCCTTCAGAGTAAGGAAGCCAACCAAGGGAAGACACTGGGGTTGGTAGCCAGACCTGCAGTGACCAAAAATTTCTGATGACCTACTTCACATTCATTTTAAGTTGTGAATTACAGCTCTGGCAAAGTTCTGTGACTCAATGGCAAGGGTCTGAACTTCCCACCTCCAAGGGCAGCTATAGTTCCCTGTGGCAGCTATAGTATACCTGCTTACAAGATTAAAAAGGCCACATATGAAGGAGAACATTTCCTTCCCAGAATACAACAGTTTCTAGCAGCCCCTCTTTTGTCTGCCTTGCAAGAGACAGTGAAGCTTAAGGGACTCAAGGAAGGGAAAAGATGAGCTTGGCAGTCACTGGCACTTGACTTGCAACAAGAGAGGACCAGGGTTTCCTTCTAACCTCAGGCAGCAGAACTGTTAGGTGAGCACAGCACAGAAAGCCTAGTGTTGGTAATTTCAGTCCTGTAAACTTGATGGGAACAACTTCAAAGCAACTAGTTCTGACCTGAGTCAATTTAGCAAAGACTAGTCAAACCATTACTGATAATTTCCACTTTATTTACTGTACAGGTTCACATAAAACATCCTTTCAGCTTAGGTAGATTTATTGTTACATGGTTAGCTTTTATAATGTGATCCCTTGCCTGAGAGCAACTCAGGACTTCACAGGGCCTGCTACGGGTCCCAGCTCACACTGCAGCAGACAGGTCACGGGCATGCTGTGCTGCCAGATCCTCCAACAGTCACAAAGGTTTGTATTTGGACATTTTAAGTGCACACCAGAGGGAACAATAAATGCACAAGGGCTGGTGCATATACTTTGGTTAGAGTGACACCACCACACATGGTTACAACTGTGCAAAAATACTGTTTTATGTCATTAAATAAAAAGAATTCACACAAGCTATAAAAATGTTGCCACAAAAGCAAAGCTTTTCGACTGACATAACCATCAACTTTCCCAAGATTCAAGTACGAGAACTGTAACAAATGATCACTGTGTTTTGTTCTTAATATTCTAGAGACCTTGAAAGTCTAAGCCTAGGCATCTTGAGACAGTGTACTGCCCTGTATCTACAGGACATTTGGAGGAAGTAAGCTTGCATACTACTGTCTAGACATTTTCCTCATTCTTTACCTTCTGCCAGGTCTGTTCTTAGTATACTCTTACTGCCTCAGCCTCCTAAGTGCTGGGACACAATAAACCCAAGCACTGACTGATCTCAGCCTTTTTTTTTTTTTTTTTTGAGATAAGGTCTCACATTGTAATCCAGCCTGACTTCCTTAAACTTTATCCTCTTAAATACTATAGGACTACAAGTGTCCATGATGCTTGTCCAAGCACTTAACTTCAGTAAAAGCAAATAACTGATTGGAAGAATATAAATAATACTTCAAAAACCCAACACTTCTCTAGATAGGTATGTTAAGGAATCATGACACCAAAGTGTCTTTCAAGATACCATGTGGATTTTAAATGGTCACCCCAGAAGATTGAATTAGGGCAGAGTACAGAGACTGGCCAGTGTTCAAATGCTCTCCCATCAGAACTCACTTACAGCCATTTACATGCCTTATTCTATAAACCAGAGTTTTAAAAAGCCTTATTTTAAGTGCACGAGTGTTCTGTCTACACGTACGCCTGTGCACCACATGCATGCCTGGTGCCTGTGGAGGTGAGAAGAGGATGATGGGTCCCTTAGGACTGGAGTTACAGACAGCTTTGAGTCTCCATATGATTGCTGGGACTTAAACATGGACCCTCTGGAAGAGTGGATGAAGTTATCTCTCTAGTCCCAATAACTCACTTTTCTCTGTCTTTTCATCAGAGATTCTAATGGAGTCAAGAAGGATCTATTAGGCTCGAGTGCAAATTTTACCTTTGGTACAGCCAGTTATCATTCAGAAAATCCAAAAAGCATTGAAAGAAAAAGGAATCCTCATCAGATTCTTGGGCATATTCCCTCTTTTCCAGACACACAAAGGCCTCTGAGCTTCCTGCACACACTCTGTTAGAACCATGACAGAGCTCGAGTCTTCACAGTGCCTGACAGACACCTACTACCTGTCCTCATGGGACCAATTTCAACTTTATCTCCTATTAATTTTTCCTTGAAAATAATTTAAGAGATTCATTATTTTATACATGAGTGTTTTGCCTACATGTATATATTCATTTATCTGTACGTATTCATATGTATGCATGTACTTATTGAGGGAAGAAGAGAGTACAGAACTCCTGGGGGAACTGGAGTTACAGGTGGTTTTGAGCCACCCACCATGGGTTCTGGGAATCAAACTTGAGCCCCTGGAAGAGCAGGAACCATGTCTCTAGGCCCATCCTGCTACTTTCACGTGTGAAAGATCTGACTTTCTTATCAGTTCTCAAACTCTCCTCTTTTGCCCTGGACCTGGCACAGCCACCATTGCACAGTAAGAGCCACCAACCCTACTCTAGAGCCATCCAAAGATGAAAACACCATTCTAGTGCCATTTCACACCTGACTAATCACCAGTTTCATTGTCTGTCACATGACAGCAGCACTTAGGACTACAAAGTATTTCTAGTAACGCATGCTCTCCAAGCACAAATCATCAGCATACAGATATGCACAGGAGACTCAGGAAGCAAGGCCATGTCTACAGTACTGTATCAGCATATAAAGTAGCAGGGAGGGTCAAAATCCGAAATAACATCATACATCTTATATAAATCAAATGGACAGCAAAATTCATACAAGTGAAATCACCAGTTGAAAATTAAACCAGGGACCATCAGACACAGGTAAGGTTCTTATCCAACCACATATAACAAATTCTTATGCCACACTGACCCCCACTTAACCACCATGTCCAACAAAAGACACTTAATCACACAGTCTCAAGCATTAGCTGGAAACTTCAGTCCAGCTCTGCTCAAGCTTGGCATGACCATGGCCCAGAAGACAATGGGAGAAGTGTATAAATGTGAGAACAAAGACACCAGTTAAAATATTTTTTGAAGAAGGGATTGCCATTATGATTAAGAGTGTAAACTCTCGGGAAGGGAAAAAAAATCCATTTTTCATAGGTTGTGTACAAGTTACAAAACAAAACAAAAATCACTGAAATCTACCTTAACATTCATCCATACAGTAAACAGGACCACAACACCTGCCAGCAAATTCTTTGCCCTTATAATGCAAGTGATGCCAACAGATCCCAGCTGTTCTCAGTGTTTGCCATGTATATGTGAGCTTATGGGGCAAAATAAAAAGCAAATGAATTCATCACTAGCACCATCAAAATAACTGTAAAAGAAAGCCAAACGGTTTCTACTGAATTACAAACGTTTTCCTAAATAACAATCTAAACTATGCCACTTGTGTAAAGGGTCCATCCAGTATCTAAAAACTGGATTGAGTATCCGAGTTTAGGATAAAAGGAAAAACACATGACAATACTGAACTCGGGCCCTGAAAACACCAGAAGAACAGGAATAAGATTCGGCAGTACTTCTTAGAAAACTATGAGGACTCTGATAAGCATTATACACTTCGGATGTCATAACCACAAAGTAAATAGAGGCCTCCCATTCTCACAGTAACATAAATATGGCGAGCTGAAACAATAGATAAACTGTGTGGCTTATTTACAACAAAGTTGTCATTAAATGGGCATCCCAGAAAGATCACTTTGCCCGAAGACAAAACTAAAAAGGAATGAACTGCATGCCACAAAGATGTCAGCGTTTCACTTGAGGTCTCCATCGCCTAAAAGATGTCAGCGTTTCACTTGAGGTCTCCATCTCCTTCTCCATCCCCTTGGATAGACTTCTTGATACGAAGTAACATGGTGGTAAGCCACTGATCCAAGCGTGATATTGAGTCAAACTCCTTCACCTGGTTTAAGGAATGAAGAACAGGAATTATACCTGAAATACATTGAAAACACAAGATGATAGTGACCTAAGCTGTTTAAAGATGTTACTGTGATAACCCACTGACTTTGATTAGAAATTACTCATTCTAGGGCTGGAAACATGGCAGAGTGGTTAAGAACACTGACTGCTATTCTAGAGGACCTGGGTTCAATTCCCAGCACCCACATGCAGCTTTTAACTGTAACTCCAAGATCTGACCACCCACACACAGACATAATACCAATGGACATGAAATAAAAATAAACTATAAAAACCAAAATGAATATAAAAAAATTCTCATTCTAATTTATAACTTTCCTCACTAAAAACAGTTTTCCTAGCGAGGTGGAAATTGAAGCTGACACATGCATTTAATACCAGCACTTGGGAGGCAGAGGCAGATGGATCTCTGTGAGTTCGAGGCCAGCCTGGTCTACAGAGTGAGTTTCAGGACAGCCAGGACCATTGCACGGAGAAACCTGTTCTTGAAAAACCAAACCAAACCAAAGAAACAAAAACATGCTCCCCCAATCAGTTTTCCTTTATCCTATAAGCCTGTGCATTTAATTTTTCTTTGTATGCGAACATGTATATGGCAAAAATCCAGAAAAGCTAAGTGGAAAGGTAAATTCTGTATGACAGAGGATGTGGGCATGGCATAAGAATTAGTAAGGTAAGCCGGGCGGTGGTGGCGCATGCCTTTAATCCCAGCACTCGGGAGGCAGAGGCAGGCAGATCTCTGTGAGTTCGAGGCTGGGCTGGACGGATAGCCTCCAAAGCAATACAGAGAAACCCTGTCTCGTAAAAAACAAAAACAAACAAACAAACAAAAAAAAGAATTAGTAAGGTATAAGAAAAGTATTATTTACTGATCATGAAAAAATACTATCAAATAATTAGTGGATGGGGAGCAGAATCCCCTTGATGGATTTTAGCTTATGCAAAGAAAGACAATGACATTGGTGAAAGCAGTTTGAGGGTAAAAGTTAAGATGTTCCTTTTCACTGTCACTTTAAGACTGGAGTTGATCTCATTTCAACCTACTAAGAAATCTGCTTGACTCTGAACACAAGATTGCAAAAGACAAAAAACAAACAAAAACAGAAAAAAGAAAGTAACCTATAATACACATACACCCAAGTATACCAAAGGCCCAGTTTTGAAACTTTAATTTTAACATAAGCCCTCCTTTACACTGTCAGACTGTCTTCAAATCACCAAAACTCCATGTTACGACTCTGTCACAAGTTTCTGAAGAAGCATGCTGGCTAAGTTAGTTCTCACAGGTTAATGGGATTAAATAAAAATTTTAGATTTAGAGCTCTCCCTCTTAGAGTCCTCTGACCTGCATCCAGCTGACCCTCCTGCCACCGAATCCTGCAGAGACCTGGAGGCAGAACAAAGCTGCCATTCCTGTCTTGCCCCTCCACCATCCGGTGGAGAGGTGAGTCGCAGGGACTTTTCTAAACTACTTTCCCCTCTTCGAGTCCCCTGATCTTCCACTGCCAGACCCTTCCTGTCACCAAATCCCCCAGAAGAACCCGGAGGCAGTACAAAGCAGTCAACATCATCAGCCGTCACTCTGGTCTTGACTCTCCACCCTCCTGAAGAGACAGGGAGGGAGGGAGGGAGAGAGAGACAGAGAGAGAGAGACAGAGAGAGAGAGAGAGAGAGAGAGAGAGGCAGAGAGAGACAGAGAGAGAGACAGAGAGAGAGGCAGAGAGAGAGACAGAGAGAGAGAGAGAGAGGCAGAGAGAGAGAGAGGCAGAGAGAGAGAGACAGAGAGAGACAGAGAGAGAGACAGAGAGAGAGAGAGACAGAGAGAGAGACAGAGAGAGAGAGAGAGGCAGAGAGAGAGAGAGACAGAGAGAGAGAGAGGCAGAGAGAGAGAAAGAGAGACAGAGAGAGAGAGAGGCAGAGAGAGAGAAAGAGAGACAGAGAGAGAGAGAGAGAGAGAGAGAGGCAGAGAGAGACAGAGAGAGAGACAGAGAGAGAGAGAGAGGCAGAGAGAGAGAAAGAGAGACAGAGAGAGAGAGAGACAGAGGAGAGGATAGGACCTTGAACCCATACCCACCAGGAGAGGGAGAGACTCCACATATACGCACTGGAAGAAGAGATGGGAAGACTACAGCAAAAGAACACATGCGACGACAGAAAGACTTATATGACACCACCAGAGTCTAGGGATTCTACACCAGCATGACCTGAACGTCCCAACACAGATGAAACACAAGAGAATGACCTTAAAAACAACTTCATGAAAATAATAGAGGCACTCAAAGAGGATATGAGAAAATCCCTTAAAGAAATGGCTGGCAGCGCGGAGGCCGCACGATGCCTGGAGTTACTGTAAAAGACGTTAACCAGCAGGAGTTCGTCAGAGCTCTGGCAGCCTTCCTCAAAAAGTCCGGGAAGCTGCAAGTCCCCGAATGGGTGGACACAGTCAAGCTGGCGAAGCATAAAGAACTCGCCCCCTATGATGAGAACTGGTTCTACACACGAGCTGCTTCCACAGCACGGCACCTGCACCTTCGTGGCGGTGCCGGCGTTGGCTCCATGACCAAGATCTATGGAGGACGGCAGAGAAATGGTGTCAGGCCCAGCCACTTCAGCAGAGGCTCCAAGAGTGTGGCCCGCCGCGTCCTCCAAGCACTGGAGGGGCTGAAAATGGTGGAAAAGGACCAAGATGGGGGCCGCAAACTAACACCGCAGGGACAGAGAGATCTAGACAGGATTGCTGGACAGGTGGCAGCTGCCAACAAGAAGCATTAGAACAAAGGATGTTGGGTTAATAAATTGCCTCATTCATAAAAAAAAAAGAAATGGAAGAATAAACCAAAAAATGAAATAAATCAACAAATCTCTTAAAGAAAGCAAGGAAGGAAAGCCAAGAAAAAAACAAACAGATGAAGGAAACAATTCAAACAGTTTAAGACCTGAAAACTGAAATAGAGACAATAAAGAAAATACAAACTGAGGGAATGAATGCTGGAAATAGAAAAGCTGGGTAAGGGATCAGGAACTACAGATGCAAGCATAACCAACAGAATACAAGAGATGGAAGACAGAATCTCAGGCGCTGAAGATAAGGAAAAGGAAATAGATTCATCGACCAAAGAAAATCTTAAATCCAGCAAATCCTTAACACAAAATATTCAGGAAATATGGGACACCTTTAAAAGACCAAACCTAGCTGGGCAGTGGTGGCGCACGCCTTTAATCCCAGCACTCGGGAGGCAGAGGCAGAGGCAGGCGGATCTCTGTGAGTTCAAGGCAGGGCTGGACTGACAGCCTCCAAATACTGAGAAACCCTGTCTCGTAAAACCAAAAAAAAAAAAAAAAAAAAAAAAGACCAAACCTAAGAATAAGAGGTATAGATGAAGGAGAAGAAGCCCAGCTCTGTGGTGCAGAAAACATATTCAACAAAACTTTCAACCTGAAGAAGGTCATGCCTATGAAAGTACAAGAAGCTTACCGAACACCAAATAGACTGGACCAAAAAAAAAAAAAAAGTCCCTCACATAATAATCAAACACCAAACATATGGAATAAAGAAAGAATATTAAGAGCAGTAAAGGAAAAAAGGTAAAGTAACATATAAAGGCAGACCTATCCGAATACACCTGACTTCTCCATCAAATCTCTGAAAGCCAGAAGGTACTGGATATGTTCCACAAACACTAAGAGACCACAGATTCCAGCCCATACTACTACACCCAGATAAACTCTCAATCATCTATAGTTGGAGAAAACAGGATATTCAAAGACAAAACCAGATTTATACAACACATATCCAAAATCCAGCCCTGCAGCAAGTTCTGGGAGGAAAACTCCAACCCAAGGAAGTTAACTACACTCAAAATACATAGGCAATAGATAATCTCACTTTACCAAAATCCAGAAATAGGGGGAAAAACTCAAACACAATACCACCAACAAAAACGAATCCAAAATTAACAAGAATCAACAATCAGTGGTCATTAATATCCCTCAATACTAATGGTCTTAACTCATCTATAAAAAGACAGGCTAACAGAATGGATGCAAAGACAAAATCCATCCTTCTGCTGCATACAAAAAACACATCTCACCTTCAAAGACAAGGCATTACCCCAGAGTTAAGAGTTGGGAAAAGATTTTCAAATCAAATGAACCTAAAAAGCAAGTAGATGTAGCTATCCTAATATCTAACAAATTAGACTTCAAACTAAAATTATTCAAAAGAAATGAAGAAGGTCATTTCATATTCATCACAGGAAAAATTCATCAGGATGAAGTCTCAATTCTGAACATCTATGCTCCAAATACAAAACACCTACATTCACAAAAGAAATATTACTAAAACTCAAATCACATATTAAAACCCACATACTTATAGTGAGAGACACTTCAACACCACACTCTCACTACTGGACAGGACTACCAGACAGAAACTTAACAAAGAAACAAAGGAACTATCAGAAGTTATGACCCAATTGGGTTTAACAGACATCTATAGAACATTTCAGTCAAACACAAAAGAATATACCTTCTTCTCAGCGCTACAAGGAACCTTCTTCAACCACATACTCAGCAATAAAGCAAATCTCAACAGATATAAAAAAATTGGAATAACCCTCTATCTTATCAGACCACTATGGCTTAAAATTAGAATCCAACAACAACACAAATTGCAGAAACACTATAAACTCATGGAAATTTAACAATACTCAATTGCATCACTCCTGAGTAAAGGAAGAAATGAAGAAATCAAAGACTTCCTAGAATTCAATAAAAATAAAGGCATAACATACCCAAACCTATGGGACACTCTGAAAGCAGTTCTAAGAGGAAAGTTCATAGCACTAAGTGCCCACATGAAGAAACTGGAAAATAGACGCACTAGAGAATTAACAAAACACCTGGAAGCTCTAACACAAAAAGAAACAAACTCACCCAGAAGGAGTAGATGCTAGGAAATAATCAAATTGAGAGCTGAAATCAATAAAGAAGAAACAAAGAAAACAATACCAAGAATCAATGAAACAAACAGTTGGCTCTTTGAGAAAAATCAGTAAGATAGCCAAACCTTTATCCAACCTACCAAGAGGCAGAGAGAGAACATGCAAATTAACAAAATCAGAAATGAAAAGGGGAACATTAAAAACAGACACTGGGGAAATCCAGATAATCATCAGGTCATACTTTGAAAACCTATACTCTACAAAATTGGAAAATTTTAATGAAATGGACTATTTTCTGGATAGATATCACTTACCAAAATTGAATCAAGAACAGATAAACAATTTAAGTAAACATATAGCCCCTAATGAAATAGAAGCAGTCATCAAAAGTCTTCCAACCAAAATAAGTCCAGGGACAGATGGTTTCAGTGCACAATTCTACTAGAAATTCAAAGAAGAGCTGATACCAATACTCTTAAATTGTTCCACACAATAGAAGCAGAAGGATCTTTGCCAAACTCTTTTTCTGAGACTACAATTACCTGGTACTCAAACCACACAAAGACACAACTAAGATAGAGAATTAGAGAACAATCTCTGTCATGAACACTGATGCAAAAATACTCAATACTGGCAAATCGAATTCAAGAGCTCATCAGAAAAATCATCCACCATGATCAAGTAGACTTCATCCCAGGGATGCAGGGATGGTTCAACATATGAAAATCCATCAATGTAATCCACCCTATAAACAATCTGAAAAAGAAAAGCCACAAGATCATTTCAGAAGATGCTAAATAAGCCTTTGACAAAATTCAAAACTCCATGATAAAGGTCTTGGAGAGATCAGGGATAACAGAAACATACCTGAACACAATAAAAGCAATATATAGCAAACTGTCAGCCAACATCAAACTAAACGGAGAGAAACTCAATGTGATTCCTCTAAAATCAGAAACAAGACAAGGTTGTTCACTCTCTCCATATCTGTTCAATAATGTACTTGAAGTTCTTGTTAAGCAATAAGACAACAAAAGGAGATCAAGGGGGATACAAATTGGAAAGGAAGAAGTCAAACTTTCCTTATTTGCAGATGATATGATAGTCTAATAAATGACCCAAAGAATTCTACCAGGGAACTCCTACAGCTGATAAACACCTTCAGCAAAGTGGCAGGATATAAGATTTACTCAAAAAAAAAAATCAGTAGCTCTATTATATATAGACAATAAAAGGGCTGAGAAAGAAATCAGAGATATATTACTCTTTACAATAGCCACAGACAACATAAAATATCTTGGGGTAACTATCCAAACAGGTGAAAGACCTGTATGACAAGAACTTTGAGTCACTAAAGAAAGAAATTAAAGAAGATACCAGAAAATGGAAAGATCTCCCATGCTCTTGCATAGGTAGGATCAACATTGCAAAAATAGCAATCTTACCAAAAGCAATCTACAGATTCAATGCAATTCCTATCAAAATCCCAGCACAAAATCAGACCTTGAAAGAATATTTCTCAACTTTATATGGAAAAACAAAAGACCCAGGATAGCCAAAACAACCTTGTACAATAAAGGAACTTCTGGAGGCATCACCATCCCTAACTTCAAGCTCTACTATAGAGCTATAGTAATGAAAACAGCTTGGTATTGGCACAAAAAAAGACAGGTAGACCAATGGAATTGAATTGAAGACCCTGATATTAATCCGTATGAACACCTGATCTTTGACAAAGAAGCTAAATGGAAAAAAGAAAGCATCTTCAACAAATGGTGCTGGCATAACTGGATGCTGGCATGTAGAAGATTGCAGACAGATCCATATCTATCATCATGCACAAATCTTAAGTCCAAATGGATCAAAGATCTCAACATAAATCCAGCCACACTGAACCTCTTAGAAGAGAAAGTGGGAAGTACCTTGAACAAATTGGTACAGGAGACCTCTTCCTGAACATAACACCAGTAGCACAGACACTGAGATAGACAATTAATAAATGGGACCTCCCAAAGAAACTTCTGTAAGGCAAAAGACACAGTCAACAAGACAAAACCACAGCCCACAGAATGGGAAAAGATTTTCACCAACCCCACATCAGACAGAAGGCTGATTTCCAAAATATACAAGGAACTCAAGAAGCTTGTCACCAAGACACCAAATAATTGAACCAAAAAGTAGGTTACAGAACTAAACAGAGAATTCTCAATAGAGGAATCTAAAATGGCAGAAAAGCACTTAAGAAAGTGCTCAACATCCTTAGCCATCAGGGAAATACCAATCAAAACAACTCTGAGATATCATCTTACAACTGTCAGAATGGCTAAAATAAAAAACACCAATGACAATTTATGCTGGAGAGGATGTGGAAAAAAGGGAACGCTTCTCCATTGCTAGTGGGAATGCAAACTTGTACAGCCATTTTGGAAATCAGTAATGGCAGTTTCTCCAGAAAATGGAAACCAGTCTACCTCAAGATCCAGCAATTTCACTCTTAGGCATATACCCAAAGGATGCACATTCATACAAGGATATCTGTTCAAATCTGCTCATAGAAGCACTAATTTGTAATAGCCAGAACCTGGAAGCAACCTAGGTGCCCCTCAACCAAAGAATGGATAGAGAAAATGTGGTACATTTACACAATGGCATACTCAGAGGAAAAAAAAAAACAATGGAATCTTGAAATTTGCAGGCAAATGGATGGAACTAGAAGAAACCATCCTGAGTGAGGTGACTCAGTCAGTGAAAGACAAGCATGGTATATACTCACTCATATATGGATTCTAGACACAGTGAAAAGGATTACCAGCCTACAATCCACACCTCCACAGAAGCTAGGAAACAAGGAGGATGGTAAGAGAGACATACATGGTCCCCTAGTGAAGCAGAAAGGGACAAGAACCCCTGAACAAATGGGGAGTATGAGGGAAGGAGGAAGAAAGATAGGAGAACGAGGAGGGGAGAAGAGGAAGAGCGAGGAGAACATGAGGGATCAGGAAGATTGAGTGGGTAGAGGAATAGAGGAGAGCAAGAAAAGAGACATAATAATACAGGTAGTCACTATAGGTTTTAAGGGAAATCTGGCACTAGGGAATTATACAGAGATCCAAAAGGATGACCCTAACTGGGAACCTAATCAATAGTGGAGAGGCTACCTTAAATGCCCGTCCCCTACAATGAGAATGATGACTACCTTAAATGCCATACTAGAGCCTTCATCTAGTAGCTGATGGAAGCAGAAGCAGAGACCCACAGCCAGGCACTGAGTCAAACTCCTGGAATCCAGTTTCAGAGAGGGAGGAGTGATGAACAAAGGGGTCAAGACCACAGTGGGAAAACCCACAGAAACACCTGACCTGAGCAAGTGGGAACTCATGGACCCCAGTCTGACAGCTGGGAAACCAACATAAGATCAAACCAGGCCACCTGAACATGGGTGTCGGTTAGGAGCACTGGTAAGCCTATGGGACCCCTGATAGTGGAACCAGGATATATCCTTAGTGCATGAACAGACTTTGGTAGCCCATTTCCCATGGAGGGACACTCTCATGAGGGCCTAGGTCCTGTCCCAAATGACTTGGCAGATTTTAAAGATCACTCATGGAAGACCTCACCCTCCTGGGCGAGTAGATGGGGGATGGGATACGGGGTTCGTTGGGGTGTATAGGAGGATGGGAGGGAACTGGGATTGATATATAAAATAAGATGGTTTCTAATTTAAATAAAATTTATAAAAATTTTAGACTTATTAATTTCATATGCATGAATGCATGTACACAGTTTGTGTGTCAGGTGTCCATGGAGGTCAGAAGAGGATACTGGATCCCCTGGAATTGGTGTTACAGATGGTTATGAGATGTGGGGCGCTGGGAATCCACCCTGGTCCTCTACAAGAGAAACAAATGTTCTAAACCACAGAGCCATCTCTCCAACCCTTAGTGGAAATAGTTTGTGGTACATGCAAGACATCTTTAGAAAATACAAGCAAGTTGAACCACATTCAAATAAATGTTCAGAATTTACAAAATGTAAAGGAAAAATAATTTTTATACTGTAAACCTTTAAAAATGCAACATTTCCTAAAGGTGTAACTTACTGCTTCAGTGTAAGCTTCACTGTTCTGTTCTTCATGAGCTTCTAGAAGTTTCTGATGACATTAAAAAAAAAATCAAGAAAATACTTTAAGCTAGAAAGTCCTGTTTCTGTAGGAATACAAATCACTTTGTTTATTGTCTGTACTGATGTTCCTAGTATCTCATAAAACAGGACATATCCAAATGTAAGAATTACCCAAGTAACTTTGCACTGCTATTTCAATTCTGCCTACTTTGGAACAGCGCTAAATACTTTAACCCTCTTGACATATGAATATCTACAATGTAAAAGCTAAGTCTGGGGTACCCAAGTGATGGCTAGTCTTCATTGTCAACTGAGTTTAGAGTCACTATGCAAACACACCTGTGGGTGTTTCTAGAAAGGTTTAATTGAAGACAGCAGACCCACCATCTCTTGAGTCCCAGACTGAATAAAACGTAAGAGCAAGTGGGGAACTAGCATTCACTCTGTGCTTATTCACTGAAGACAAAGTGTGACCAAATGTCTCACACCTCTGGTGCTATGATAGACTGTCCCATCAGACTGTAGCCAAAACATACTTCTTCTATTAAGTTGTCCAGTGTTGGGTTATTTCATTACAGCATTAAGTCCATTAACCAATACATCCTCAGAAGACTTACTGATTAAAACTCCACCCATCAACGGTCCCACTTAGGTGTCATCACCCAACAGTGACGACTTCTGTCCTCAAAGTTGCTTCAGTACTTACTTTCAATAATTTACATTCTCTGGAGTCAGTAAATGCTGGAAACATTTCCTCATATTTCTCAAGAGCAAGCTGAGGGAGGAAAACAACCAGTCAATGTGAAAGCTAGTGAACTAGGAAAGTTGTCAATGCCCTATTAATTCAAAAAATTTATTTCATCCCATTTAACTGTTAAATATAATGTTAAACTCAACACCATAATAGAGGAAACCTATTAGTTGGATATTCAACTTCAATTGAGAATAAAATTTCTAAAATCATTTTTTAGATTTCAGTTGGGCTATTAGAGAGAAGAAACTGAATAAAATTCACTTGCCAGGATCTATACTTGTCTTCTAAACAGAGACCTTCCTTTACACCCTCCAAATGCCAAACACCAGGGTAGGAGGGACTCTAGAGCATTTTTTTTTTTGTGGCTCTTTGAACTCTAGATGACCAGTGCCAAGGCTTCTTAGGTTCAATCTTGGTTTCTAGTTGCCATCTTGCTTTGCAGCTTTCTCCAACTTTCAATCTATTCTAATTCCACTTTTGAGCTTGTTTGTGTATTTTTTAACAGAGAACTTAGAAGCCGGGTGTGGTGGTCTATACCTTTAATCCCAGCATTTGGGAGGCAAAAGCAGGTTGATCTCTGTGAGTTTGAGGTTATCCTGGTCTACATAGTAAGTTCCAGGACAGCCAGGGCTACATAGGGAGACTCTGTCTCAACAACTACAAAAAAAGTGATTAGGGCCAGTGAGGTAGTTTAGCAGGTAAGGGCATTTGCCACCGTGCCTAGCTTGAGTTTAATCCATGAATCCTGTATAGTGGAAGAAGACTAACTCCTAAAAGGTGTTCTCTAACTTCCACATGTGTGCTGGGACATATCCACATGCTCTGCTCTCCCTGCAAAAGTTAAGTAAATAACAAATGGAAAAAGAGGGACAGAAGACATTAGTTTTACTGTCTCTCTCTTAGTTCCCCATTCTATTTAAAGCAACCACTAAAGGAAACTTGAAGAGGACAGCACTGCAGCTGTTAAAAGATTGAAATTCACACATCATGGAAGAACTATTGCTTTTACTTGTATATGTCAGGGCAGGATAAGTATGTATTCATATGGCTGTGTGCCCAAGCATGTTAGAGAGGGCACATATGCACATGAGTGTGTATATGTGGAGGAGGCCAGAGGTCATTCTCAAGTGTCTCTCTCAATCATCCTCCACCTCATGTTTGAGGTGTGGCATCTCCCTGAACATGACACTCATCACTTGGATGGACTGGCTGTTGAGCAAGCTTCAGGGACAGGCTTATCTCTGCCTTGCTCTTCAATGCTGGCATCAGATGTGAGTCACTGCACCTAGCTTTTATATAGGTGTTGGACATCTCAACTTAGGCCTGCAGGTTTGTGAGTTAAGTGCTTTATCCAGTGAGCCACTGCCACAGCTCTTAAGACCTGTATGAAGAGACACCAAGAACAACAAAGCATCTCTTCTCAAGGGTAAAGTAAGTCATCAGCAAGGAGCGTATTCTCACCTTGGCATTCAGCTCATCCACGATAAAGTGACAGAGCGCTGCCTTGAAGAAGTAATCTTTCGCACTGTACTTCAACAAGGGGTTATCCATTGTATTTGCTCCTACCTAGGGCAGAGAAGACAGCAAGTCACTAGCACAGGCAAAATAACCCACTGCCTATTCACCTGTTTTGTTTTAAAAAGAACGTTTTAGTATCTTAGTAATATACTCAACACCAAATAGTACAACACCAATAGTAAGAGATAGTTATTAGGCACAGGAACTGTAAAGAATGCCTAGAAGACTTCTGCTTCTGAGACAATGGAAAGATCTAAGCTTTCCCCCATTCTTCCTATGAAGTACAACTAGAAGTTTATCATTTTAAGGAAAACAAACATCTGTTGTATTATATTTTGATTGCATTCTGACAATAAAGTCTGATTTGAGTAAGAGGACAGTAGCTGTTAGCTGACCAAAATTAACCTCAGATGTCTTGAAGGACTGGATGCCTTGAACTCACAGAGATCTGCCTGACTCTGCCTCCCAAGTGCTGGGACTAAAGGCGTATGCTACCAGTGCCTACCTAAACCTTTGTGTCTTTAAATTACTTTCATCAGGCATTTAATCACAGCAACACAAAAACTAAGTAACACATTACTTAAATACTAAATACTCATAAGTGGCAATATTCTTTGAGGATCGATTCTATGTATCAACTTAAGTAGACCTTGGGTGCCCCGATCCTGGCTAAATATCACCCTGAGTAAGATTAGCATTTCAGTCAGCAGAGGAGAAAAGCAGACTTCCCTTCCCAGTATAGATGGGCCTCAGCCAACTCATTGATGCCTGGACCAATTACAAGTCTAAGCAAAGGGGCTAGTGAGACAGCTCAGAGGGTAAAGATGCTTATTACAGCTGGGCAGCCTGTTAATTTCCTGGATTCCTAGTGACAGAGCTGACTTCTGCAAGTTGTCCATGCACCTGCCCGCCCCCAATAAACAAATAAATGAAATAAAAATATACTTATTTTTGTCAGGTAGTGGTGGTGCACGCTTTTAATCCCAGCACTTGGGAGGCAGAGGCTGGTAGATCTCTGTGAGTTTGAGGTCAGCTTTGTCTACAGAGCAAGTGCCAGGACAGGCTCCAAAGCTACACAGAGAAACCCTGTCTTGAAAACAAAAACAAGCAAACAAAATATATGCTTTTTTTTTAAGTTTAAGAAAAGGACGGCTGATCCTTCTCACCTGATAGTTCTAGAATCGAGACAATGATCTTCCGCATTCGGGTTCGAGCTCATATCATCTTTTTCACAACAGATCTGGGCCATCTCAACCCCTACCATTGAGAGTGAATACCTAAAATCTTCTTTCTTTTCCTCCTGCACTCCAATCTGCTGTCTCTATCTATTACTCTGGAGAACCTTGACTAATATGCTTTTTGAACTGCTCTACACACCCAATTCAAGTCCTATTAACAGTGAAGCTAGATTCATTGCAGGATAACACACTGATCCCCAAATTTATGTTGCTTCAAGGGATCCAGAAGGAGGGCAATCTTGAGAAAGAAGAGTCAACTGCAGGACTGACAGTCTCTGATTTCAAATTTCTCTGTAAAGATACCACTGTCAGAGCAAAGTGATATTTGCATAAAGCTTAACAGATGGATGGAGTACAGGGCTCAGAATGAAGCCCCTGTATTAGTGAAACAACTTCCAGACCATTGAAGATCATATTTAACAAATGACAATGAGTAAAGTGATGTCCATACATTAGAGTAAAGGTGGATCCCAGTCTAACATGCACACAAATAGCTTAACTCAGAATGCATCAAACACCTGAATCTAAGGGCAAAAATTTAAGACTCTTAGAACAAATTACAGTTTAAAAAGATTCATGACGCTCAATTTGACTATACTTAGATGCAAGACAAAAAGTACAGATAGTAAAAAGGAAAGGACAAATTAGAGTTGATAAAAATTAAGAATTCTGAGGCTGGTGAGATAGCTCAGTTGGTAAGGTGCTCTCTGCCAAACCTGGAGCCCTGAGTCTGAGTCTCGAGACTTACACAGTAGAAGGAGAGAACCAATTCCTTCAGGTTGTCCTCTCCTTTCCACAGGTTTTCCACAATCTGTTTTCTGTACTCACACACTCCACACAAAATAAATAAATGTAAAAGAATTATTTTAGATACTAAAAAAGTCTAGATCAAGGCAAATAAACAACAGAATAAAAAGGAAATCCATAGAATGGGAAAAATGTAAGTTATTCCTGACCATAAATAACTTGCATCCTAATATCTAGGATTAAAGAACTCCTAACTATCAAAACGAACAAAGGACTCAGATATTTCACTAATGATGGAAAATGGCCAGTGAGCTCACAAAAATTAATATCACTCATCATGAGAGAAAGAAGAGATGACCCTTTGAATTCATTAAAAATCACAGAGAGATGTTGGTGAGGATGTGGAGAAGTTGAGCCCTGGGCACTGTTCTGGGAACACTCAATGTTCCAGTACTCTGTAAGAGTCTGGTAGTTTCTCAGCAAGGCAGGCTTGGGTACTATGAAGCCCAACAATCTCTATTCCATCCCCAAGTATGCAGCCAAGACAACTGAAGTTAAGTGCAAATGTTCACAGCAGTATATCCTCAATAGACTCCAAGTGGAAGCACCCCAAATGCTTATCAAAAGATGAATATATAAATCACAGAGTAAGCATTAGTCAACCATGAAAAGCAACGAAACACTGACATGTTGTAATATGAAGAACCTTGAAAACACTATGACAAATGACAAAGTCAATCATAAAGAACAGATAGCGCAGTATTTCATGTATGTGAAAGGGTCAAGAACGGCAAATCAGGGAAACAGAAAGCAGATTGTCTTTCCAAGCTTCTTTTGGGAGTGATGGGATATTTAAGCAGTAGATAGCAGTGACTGTTACAAACTTTGTCAAGGTGACAACAGTGTCTTCACCTGCTCGTAGATCTCGATGGCTTTCTGATACTGCTCCAGCTGTGCAGCATAGGCTGCCACCTTCAGCAGACATTTGTTAGCAGAGCTGAAAGTAGGACAGTGCATAGTAAGTGACAATACTGAAGAGACATGACCTGAGGACACCCGCTTCTGCAGAGATGCTCAGATGATAAAGATGAGGTATCTTTTACCACATATGAAAAGCCTGTTACAGATATGAAGAAAAGCACATACCTGTTAGATTCTTCTCCTTTGTAGTAATCAGCAGACTGCTCATAATGTGCAATAGCCTGAAAGAACATATATTTAGTTTACAAACAATTCATTCAAAAAATTGCATTTATAAACTACACATGGGCCCTGGTAAGAAGACTCAGTAGGTAAAAGTGCTTGCTGCCAGGCCTGACAACCTGAGTTTGATTCCTGGAACTCTGATAGTGGAAGGAGAGAAGGGATTCTTGCAACTGTCCCCTGACCTCCACAAGTACACAAGTGCACACACAAAATAAATGAATAAATGTAATAAAAAACTTAAAACTACATGTACACCATTGTTTTTCCCTATAATTAAACTTATTCCAGTGATAAATCTTTCAGAACTTGGCCTCCTTGGCAAATACAGTGAAGCATGTGGCCCTGAAGCCTCCTAGAAACAAAATGCTTGCTTTCATGTGAATCTATCTATGGAAGCTTGAATGAGAAATGTTCCTCTTAGGCTCACATATTTGACAACTTGGTCCCATTTCATGGTGCTATATGAGGGGTATGGGAAAGTACAGGCTTGCTGGAGGAAGTATGTCACTGAGGGTGGGCTTTGAGAGTTTACAGCCCTATCCCATTTCTAATTACTTCTCCCCTCTGTGTTTGATATTGAAGATGTGATCTTCTGCCACAATGCCTACCACTTGCTGTCATGCCTCCCTGTCATGATGGACTCTATCCCCCTAGAACTCTAAACCAAAATAAGTTCTTTGTTTCATAAATTGCTTTGGTCATGCTGTTTTGTGTACAGCAACAGAAAAGTAACCAGTAGTTTCCCTCACTCATGGCAAAAGGTCCAGCTTCCACTGCAGTCAAGGTGGCCCGATTACTACTTCTCTGATAGAATGTGAATAGCCAAACATCTTACTCTGTACCATTTTCTTCATCTTTTCCATTTCCTAAAAGCTAAAAGACTGTTGCACCCGTCCCCTATGGGGGTCTGTCTGCTGACTGCTTGTACTAAGAGCTTTTAGCTAAACACTTCTCAACTCCTCCTCTCATAGCCTGCAGCAAGTTCCTTGTTATCCATCCTTTGTTTAAATGCTAATTCCTGCTTTGGGCCCACCTTTTGCTGGAGGGCCCTGGGAACAGAGGCTTCCACTTTGGGGATTTTCCACCATGCCTGCCTTGGGTATTTAAGGCTCTACCCCTGCAAGATGAGAATAAACGCCATTCTCCTTGTAAGAATGAGACGCTGTCTTTGTCTTCATTTTACATCCTTAGCCCTTTGCCTCGGATCGTTATGAAGTTTGGTAGCACCATAGCCGCAAACACACCTGCGGCTTGCTACAAAAGACATGGCCAAGTCTGGAGTGAGTGAGACCACAGACTGAACCTGCCTCCTGACTAACCCCTTATCCCAGCATACTCATCACTATCAAATCCGTACTCTGGAGTGTTTATTTAGAGAGCCCTGAAGCCGTTATACTCTATGACTTACTGCAATAGCTTTGACTTTTTCTACTACAAGTATCACCAGAGCAAAGATGTTCCTTCCATTTAAAATAGATGACACCCACACAATAGTCAATGGAGAGAGAAGAAAGCTAGAAGCCCTCATCAGGCTCTGACAAGTGAAATCAGATTACTCAACACTTTAGAGGGTAGAACACATTAGCAGAGGCCCAACTATGCAAAGAAGCTACTGTTTTACTAAGCCTGATGAGAGCCAGGTGGTGGTGGTGGTGGCGGCGGCGCACACCTTTAATCCCAGCACTCAAGAGGCAGAGGCAGGCGGATCTCTGAGTTCAAAGCCATCCTGGTCTACAGAGGGAGTTCCAGAACAGCTAGAGCTACACAGAGAAGCCCTTGTTTTTTTTTTGTTTTGTTTTTGTTTTTGTTTTTGTTTTGAGACTGTTTCTCTGTTTAGCTTTAGAGGCTGTCCTGGAATTCGCTCTATAGACTAGGCTGGCTTCGAACTCACAGAGATCCATCTGCCTCTGCTTCCTGAGTGCTGGGATTAAAGGCGTGTATCACCAATGCCCGGCAAGAAACCCTATTTTGAAAAACAAAAGCAAAGGAACAACAACAACAACAAAAATAATAATTGGAGATGAATCTGGAAATAATTGGCTGCTTTTTAGGTGGTTATGTGGTAACAGACCATGTCCACAGGTAAGGGCCTGAAAAACCAATGACTTCTACATCCCAAATGGCAACAGGTAAGTTTGCAGGAGGCTTTAAAACAGGGATAAGATAAGCTTTTTCTGCATTGGCTGAAATCATACTTTAGGGTCTAGCAGCTGATTATTCTGCTGGCAAGGACTCAGTGTTCCTGTAACAGCACAGACACCAACAACATAGGAATGAGTGCTGTGTCTAGAGACTGACAGTAAAACATCAGTTTTGCATGATTTAAATATTTTTAAGTTTATTTTCAGAGGGAGGGTCAAAAGCATATGGACACTCTGTGGAGTGGGTTTTCTCCTTCCACTTTGTCTGGGTCTCAGGGATTGGACTAGTTCATCAGGCTTACACGGCAAGTCCAATTTCACATAATTTTTATGTGCCACACATGTTTTGGCTTCTGAGGAATAAGCAGCAAAGCACCCTTGTTGGCTTGTAGACATACACAAGCAAGCAATAGGTTTGCAGTCCTCTGCCTTAATTTACAAAGCTTTCCCAGTAAGCCCCAAATACACAACTAGTTTCACATGAAAATAAGATTAAAGGCGCTAGGCACAGAAATAAGAAAATAAATAGAACAAAGCAGACTTCAGAACTACATCTGAATACCCTTTTAAAGCCTGAAGCCTCTGCATATCTGTAAAGTAGTGATTACAGCTACTGGAACCATACTAATGAAGTCTCTGGATTCTGGAGCATCCCAAGAACACATACCTTGAACAAGTCTTCAATAAGACACCTCTTCTCTTTGTTTCAGCCACATAACCCACCTCCCTAATATGCTCCCCAAAATAGATTTCCTCGGTATTATTTATAATAGGAAAAAAGTAAAAGGGACTTCACTGGTTAAACATGTGAGCTACATACAGTTAAAGGTAATGGGTAGAGGTGCCAAGACAGAAAAAGGTTAGGAACACTATGACTCCCTTTTAACAGATACAAAAGTCAATACAAAAGCAGCAGGACAATACAATCACTTGGAATCCTTCTCAGAACCATTGCACATATGGTTCCATCTCTCACAGAAGCAAATTCTGTGAGAGAAGGTCCGGGACTGCTGTTCACCATAGCCATCCCTGAACCCAGAAGAAAGCGTACTGCACGGCAGATGCTCAGTAACCAGAAGTGAATGAACAAAATGCCCCAATGAGACCACTGTCAATATTCCAAGTCATTCAAAGGACCAGAAACTGTCAGCAAATATGATGGGAAAAAAAGGCCTTTGGGGTTGGGGCATAGCCTCATGGTAGAGTACTGGCTTGGCCTCTACGAGGCTTTGGATTTGATGCATATCCTTGCCCTTTTGCCCCTTCTGAACCGTTTTTATTCTTTGAACTGGTTAGCATTGTTTCCACTCTAATAAATGGATCGGGGCACAAAAAACATACCCATGTCTCCTGTAAAAAACCTGGACCACATAGCCTCTTCCTAGGGAGAGGAAGGTATTCTCTTCCTAGTTTTACACTGAGAACAAAGAACAGGGTTGAACTGAGCCATATGGAGCTTCTGTCTCAGGTGAGAGGATGGGAGGAAGTACACACTTAACAATTTGGTCTAAGAATACTTACTAGCCAGATAGTCATTATAAGTTTTACTTAGTTTTAGGTCATTGGAACTGGCCTGGAACTTGCTATGAGTTCAGGCTGGCCTTGAACTCACAAAGATTCAACTGCCTTTGCTTCCCAAATGCTGCTATTAAAGCTACTCCTGGCTACAATGTTTTGTTTTGTTTTAATTATTTAATTTTTGAGATTATAATTATATCATTTTTGCCTTCGAGACCTTTCTTGCTCTCTTTCAAATTCATGGCCTATTTTTCATTCATTGTTGATATCTATCTATCTACCTACCTACCTACCTACCTACCTATATATAAATACAGCTTGCTCAGTCTGTGTACCAGGGCTGACCATTTGGTGTTGGATATACAATTGGTGTGATCATCCCTGGGGAAGACTATTTCTCCTGCTCTCAGCATTCCTAAGTTGCCTGCAGGTTTTTTGTTTGTTTGTTTTGGTCTAGGGCTGAGGACTCCAGAGCTTTCCTCTGCCACATTAGCATGTCTGTAACTGTCCTTGTTCATCTCATCTTTAGACAACCATGCTGGTGAGGCTTTATGGATCTAGCTTACAGGGAGAGACAATCTCACAGAAAATTCCCTGTTCCTCTGACTCTTAAATCTTTCTGCCTCCTCTTCTAAAATAACCTTAGGTGCAAAAGTTGCATTGTAAAGTTTTTTTTTAAATAATGCTAATTAAACCAACACCCAGACTCTATGGTTTCCCAAGTTTTAACAGAAAGACTCAGTCAGGAAAGGAGAGAAGCCACCGCTAGCAAAGGATCTTCACTCCAGTGGCATTTTAACTTAGGAGGCATGTGTGGGCCTTAGTAGTAAGGGAGCATACTGCATCTCACCATTTCCACCTTAAGAGTCCACTGTGCACATACCACACTATAAAGGAACCTTAAAATAGGTTCAGTTCCCTTAGAACAAATAGCCTCTGGCTGAAGATAAAGCTACAGTATGTGTCTATCCTATGTCATAAGCATTATTATTAAGTCAGGTTCTTCAGGAGCCAGAAACAGAAACAAGTTTTATCTCCCCTGGGTCATTTAAGGATCACACACATCAGACCTGTTTACATGCAGGTGAGTGTTTTACCTCAGGAAGCTACAAGAAGTCATTGGCATGTTTGATGCCACATCTCACTGCTAATAACTAAAATTTGTGAAGGAAGTAAAAGCACACACAAACATCTGTCATACTGACAGTGAATAATATCTAGAAAAAACCAGTATTTTGGCTCATTGATTTTTCAAACATAAATTTCAAACTTCCAATGATGTAAGAGCTTCAAAGTCAGGGGCCAACAATTTAGCTTCACCTCCTTATCACTGTGTGTGTGTGTGTGTGTGTGTGTGTGAGTGTGTGAGTACACATAACTTTTTTCTTGAGATAGTGCTTTGCTAAGCAGCCATACTGGCCTTGAGTTTACAATCCTTTAGTCTCAAACTCTTGACTGCTGGGATCCCATGTACCACCACCACACCTAGCCTCTCTTTCTTTTCTTTCTTTCTTTCTTTCTTTCTTCCTTTCTTTCTTTCTTTCTTTCCTGTCTTCCTTCCTTCCTTCTTTTTTTTTTTTAATTTATTTTTCAAGTCAGGGTTTCTCTGTACCTGTCCTGGTACTAGTTCTATAGACCAGGCTGGCCTCAAACTCACAGAGATTCACCTGCTTCTGCCTCCCGAGTGCTGGGATTAAAGGCATGCGCCACCACCACCCGGCAACCTTTATTTCTTAAATTACTTTCAACAGAACAAGATATTTATTATCAGAGAAAAAAAAAGAAAGGTGCCACCTACTGGCTAATTCACAGAGTAACAAAACCAGAGCTCAAAGACTACCATAACAGACCAAAATAGTAATGAAGTGGCTGTGTGAGAAATGCCCTGGTATAAGGAATGAGCTCCAGACCAGAGTGTTCTTACTGGCAGGCCAGTGTGCTCTTTCTGACTTCCATGGGCCTGGAAGCAACCCAGAATGATGTCTGTGCATATTCCACATCCTCTACGAGACCCACTCAGTCATGAAGAGCTAGTGCAGGTCTCCAGCATGCTGGATACAGGTGCTGGAGAGATAGGTCAGTGGTCAAGAGCATTGACTGTTTTTCCATAGGACCCAGGTTGGAATCCCAGCATCTACAGGGATGCTCAACACTCTGTAACTTCAGTTCCAGGGGATCCAGTACTCTCTTCTGGCCTCCAAAGGCACAAAATACTCAAACATACAAGATGAGTGTTTTTTTTGAGGCAAGGTTTCTCTGTGTAGCCTTGGCTGTTCTAGAACTAGCTCTGTAGACCAGGGTGGCCTCAAATTCAGAGATCTGCCTGCTCTGCTTCCTGATGTATGGGATTAAAGTCATGTACCACCTTGTCACAGCTTAAAATGGATCTTAAAAAAAAAAAAAGACAGTAGAGACAGACTGACACACTAGTATCAAGGCTCACTGTGGCTGCTTTGCTGCTTGAGTCTGAGATGAGGGAACAGGAGCAGACCAGCTGCAGCCTCTGGCACTGATCACATGAAACTGGGGACAGGTACAACACAGAAGTAGTGAGAACAGCACCCAAAAACCCTCTTCACAAGCTAGATGGGGACAAGAGAAAGGCCAAGGAAGCCTGGTGACTGCAGAACTCAGGGGTGGGAGTGGCACTTAAGAAGAAAATTCCATCTAAAACCCACTGGTTCAGAGATAACTGTGGAACCCAAGAAAAAAGCTGTGGGAATCATATATGGAAGCCCATTCCATCATGCCAAGAGTCCAAAGAGCTCAAATCACTCCTATTGTCTATAAGATATTATCTTAAGGGCTACAGGATGCCCTGGCCTCCTGGTGAATGGTTCCTATCTAAATAACAATAGACTTAGGCACAGGTGAGTTTACACTCATCCTGAAGGCCAAGTAGTACATGCAGCTACTGAGTGTCTTTAGGATTAAGGAAAGTAACTGCTATTTGCCCTATATAGATGATAACAGAAGTCTTCTGCCACTGTCCCCACCTTTGGTTGATTACTTAAAATGGTGTATCAATTAACTGGGTGGCATTCAGTATGGACTGAAACTGCCCTCCTGACACTATCCTATGTCTGTCTTTCCTTTAACGTCAATAGCTGGCCCCTTGATCCACACTCCCCCCTCAGGAATGGACGTGGGGCTGCTCCCTACTAGTCCCGACTGCAGCCCCACAAACACCAGTTCACGACATATAGCCCCACAACGTAGGGCTAATACAGTTGGTCCACGACAAAAAGCTACAAGCAGGACACATATGAGAGCAGTGACACTGAGTGAGTAATACTGAGGGTGCACAGTTTGCCTTCCACTTCTCCAGAGCCTCAGAGAACTTCAGCAGACAGATGGAAAGTCTTTAGACCCTTCTAACATGAATAACAGCACAAACCGGTAAGCTCAGAAAATCTCTGGCACTCCAGGTAAACATCCCCTTTACTCAGCCAGCTAGACCTAGGCAGTCTCCTCCAGGACACCTGTATTGGTTCTGGGCCACTCCAGTCAGCTGGGAAAGAGGAGGAGAGGATTCCTCCAGCCAGCTGGGAAAGAGGAGGAGAGGATTCCTAAGAGGTCAAGCATCCACCTTCTGCACCAAGCTCATAGGTGTGGTCAGTGCTTACCTTCTCAATGTCCACAAGCTCAGTCTCGTAGATCTCTGCAATCGTGATGTGGTGCTTGGCTGCGATTGTAAACCTTCCCTAGGGGAGAAAGCAGAGTCATACACCTGCTTTATCTACACAAAACTATAATCAGTTTGGGGGCAGGAAAAAATACAAGTCTAAAGCAGCTCAAGGACTCCACCCCACAGCCATTCAAGCAATGCAATGTCTTACCATGTCTGTGTAAATGTCGATGGCTGCATTTAAGCAGTTGATAGCCTCTGAAGCGTGGGCATTTAAGAAAAACAATGAAAAATTCATTCAGTGAAAGAGGGTTCAGCTGAGCCTGTTTCCTGGCTGCTACTACTGATGGTAAGGAGGTAAAATTTGGGGTAGTGGGTGGGCAGGCTGGTTAGTGGGAGCAGATGTAATCATGCACAGTCCAGCTTCATTAGCGTGGCTTTGTTCCTAGCAGCTGCACTGGGACTTAAAGCAGCTGCAGTAATACTAGCTCAGTAACTCTTAGGGGGTCCATCCAGGTGGCAGTTCTATTACAAAGGAAACAAGACCACAGGGATTGCCACCCAAACTGGTAAATGAAACTGCTACCTATATGGTAAATGCGGCCTTCATTAATATCATGTGTGTTTATATAATTTTGGAAAATGTCACCTCTTCACAAGGAAGACCATTTCAATAGTCTCCACTCTTCATGAGGCCAGCATCAAAAGCACTTTGTAACTCTTAAGCCAAATATGTAAATGTGTATACTGTTCAAAGACACTAACTTTTGGTACACTAAAAGTTACCTAAAAGTCACATTGGTACCATGAAACGAAGGGAAAACTTTACAATGACAAAGCTAATAAATTATATTAGTTTCTTAAAACATTGTACCAGGAAGTGTCTTGTCATAATAACAGTGGCTGACAGCACCAAGTTTGCCTTCAGTTTGAAAGAAACAGCAAGGAGGCAAAAACTGGACTGGAGGAACAGAAAAGTGACTAGAACGACAAAAATGAAAAGCGACTTTTGCCTACAGTGTGTTTAAAAATGAACACTCACTGCTACACCTTACAAATGACAGCAAAGCAGAGAGAGATTATTTATAATACCACTTAGAGAGAGAGATTATCTATAACCTACTTAGGCCCAGCATTCCCACATCAGCACTTTTCTTTCCTGTGTTTTGGACATGTTTCTACATACACAAGGTTTTTTCTTGTTTGTTTTTGTTTTGCAGAAATTGTAGCCATATAGCCAGATGTTGGTGGCACTCTGGAGGCAGAGGCAGGCAGATCTCTTATGAGTTTGAGGCCAGCCTGGTCTACAGAGCGAGTTCCAAGACAGCCTCCAAAACAATAGAGAAACCCTGTCTCGAAAAAAAAACAAACAAACAAAAAAAAAAAAAAAAAAAAGAAGAAGAAGAAATTGTGGCCACATAACACTCAGATCCTTAATTAGCATGTGAACATTATTTACCAGGTCAACAAACATTCTATGAAACCAAGTACTTTGGTTTCTTTGAGGCAGGGTCTCACATCCCAGGTTGGTCTGCAACTCCCAAGTCTCCAGCCTCAGTCTCCCAAGCACAGGGATCACAGGTGTGTGTCACCATAACCAGCCCCAAACCAGGGACTTGGTCGCTTGTATGAAATTCTACATATGGAGTCATTCTGCTCATAGCCTCTCAGACCCACTGTGCCCCGTCTCTCACGTTTGGAAATAAAAGTATAGTTAACCTTTATACAAAAAAAGCTTGATGACATTTTTCTTCGGGATATATTCCTAGAAGTTTAGATTTGTGTGTCAAACAAAACAGACAACAGAAGAAGACTCAAAGACAACTATGTACATGTATGGGATTTTAATAGCTTTAGTTTAATCCTTCTCAAAAAAGAAGTAACATTTGCAAAAATTTCACTAATTTGACATCCAATATTCTTTCCTATAAAAAAAAGAAAAGCTTTGGAAAGAACTTAGAAAAACAGTGAAAAGAGTGCTATGTGGTTAAGACACCTTTTTAACCACTGGATACTACACGCCTTTGCTAAGTGAAATACACTTAGAAGGCTGGGAACACCAAGCTTTCCTTCTTCATTCACAAACATATTTCATGAAGATGAGATAAGGTGCCTGTAATCCCAGCACATGAGAGGCAGAGGGAGAGGCAGAGGCAGGAGAGTGCAGAGTCAGCTTTTGCTACATGATGAAAAACTGTCTCAAATGTCCCTCAACTCCTCCAAATTGATGCCTTTATGATTAGAGTAGACATTATTAAAACAACCAAAATTTCTTTCTTATCCTATAATGCAAGAATTCTTATTAGCAGGACACAGCATGGCACGCCAACCTCAATACCACAGGAAACAATGCTGGTCAGTGACACAGAGCCACCCAGTGGCCTTACCTTGAGGGTCTGCCTTCTTATAAGCATTTCCAGCATCCACAAAGCTGGTAGCAGAGTCATGTTTGCTCTGAAGCTGCATGTGGAGCTTGGCGGCTTGACAGAACGCATTTCCTGCAGCTGAAGAAGATGCCATGGTTAAATAGTAAGGAACAGCCTTCCCAAAGAAGACACAAGGTCCCACACAGAAAAGGTACAGGTCTCTAAAAAGAAGGCTGCAGCCAGAGAGACATGCATCAAGACAAGTGCATCTAAGTGTTGGTTACTTTTCCTTGGTAGTTCTAGAGGACTGGCCAAGCATCCCAGACACGAAACCACCTTTTTTTTGGCCCACCACTCAATGACTGACAGCCAGCATTTAGGATCTTAAGCTCTGTCCCACATGATAAAGAAGGGGAACTTAGCTTCACACAGTTAAAGAAAGGCCAAACACTAAAGCCAAGGCTATTCTCTACTCATTTCTCAACCCCAGTGTCCATGTCGCTCAGGTGTCATTGTTTGAGCTGCTCCACTAGGAAAATCATGACTTAGAAGGCACAAAACCTTAAGGCAATAGTTTTCAACCTTCCTAATGATGTGACCCTTGAATATACTTCCTCATGTTGTGATGACCCCCAACCATAGAATTATTTTCATTGCTACTTCATAACTGTGATTTTGCTACGGCTATGGATAGTAAATGTCTGTGTTTTCTGATGGTCTTAGGTAACCCCCGTGAAAGGATCATTCAACCTCCGAGGGGTCGTGCCCACAAGTTGAGAACCACTTCAAGTTTAAAATACTTGGGGGAAGGAAGATGTGGTTTACTAAGACACGGTCTTGCCTTCCCTGAAGCTGCACTCACAATCCTTTTCTGTGTCAGCCTCCCAAGTGTCAGAACTACAGACAGGCATGTGCTGCTACCATGCCCAGGCTCATGTTCTGAAAACTTGATCTCCAGCTGGTGGTGCTGCTTTGGTTAGTTCTAGAAGCCATAAGAGCTGTGCCTTAATGAAAAACAAGGTCACCTAGGGCTGGGGCTGAGGTTTGTCAGGGTCACCTTCCTTTCCTTGCTCTTGCTTCCTGTCTACAGTATGGCAAAGCCGCTCTACCACCACTCCAGAACATTCTACCCAGGCAGATGAGGTCAAACAAGCACTGACTAAGCCCCTGAACCTGTGAGCTAAGTAAGCCTCTCCTCCTTCAAGCTGTTCTGGTATTCTCCTCACAGCTAGAGGCCAATCACAAAGCAGTGTACTCTGCTAAAAAACCACTTGCTTTAAATTTACCCGTATGAAATAAAACTTTCAAGTCTATGAAAGCCTCAGCTGTCTCCCTTGTCCCAAATACCCTCTTCACAGGCATTAACCTAATTCCCACGTGGACCTCTGATCATCAAGGAAAGGAAGCCACACAAATCCTGTAGCCTGCTCCAGTTTAGTTCTTGTCCTGGGCCTCTGTTTCTGACACCAGAGAACACATGATATTTAGGAAACATTTACTACTTAGCATGACATGGGTGCTGTTGTGGTCTGAATGTTGGTGTCCCCACTTCATATTGGAGTCTAATACCCAATGTGATAGTATTACTCACTAGGGCCTTTAGGGAGTTGTTAATCCATGAGTATTCCACACTTACAGTGGAATTGGTACCAGCATAGAAGATACTGAAAGGAGCAAGTTGCCTTGTGGGATGAAACAAGAGGATGCCATCTTGGAAGCAGAGAGGAGTCCTCACCAGATACTGAATTTGCTGGCACCTGGATCTTGGGCTTGTATTTTATAAATTACTCAGATGAAGGGATTTTGTTCCAGCAGCAGAAAAGCACTAAAAGAGACACTGAGCAACGAGAACTAGCCTTAGGGCTAGAACTGGATCAGAACAATCCCTGCTGGCAACTGAGGAGCCACACAAGCAGTTAAAGACTGAGAAGCGCCAAGGCCAGGCTAGATGCAGGAACAGCCAGCAGAGTCCATCAGGAGCTTTGATGGGCTTTGCCTTGGAAGAGTATAGTGACCTGGACCTGCCATGAAGTTTTGGGAAGGCCTGGCTCTGGAAGCACTGGTGCTGGCCACTTGCATTCCTGCAGATACATCTCTCCTAGGCACATCAATGTACTCCATTTCTCACTTCTTCACAACCCCCACCAGCATCTCACTTTCTACAGTGTTCCTACCTAGCCCTCCCCTGCTGCTCCTTTGAAAGCTAACAGTTGGTGCTGGTTTTACCTTTTCATGCCACTACTTTATCACTTGGAACACATATTCTGGCCACTACTAAGAAGGGCAAGTATCTCTCAGCCTGGAAGTATCTTTACAGGAGAATAACCTCTGGGAAGTTACCCAATGGTCAGGCTTAGTTTGAATAGCGGCTGAAAAGCATATTAGCTTATCATTATAAAAGGACTTCTAAAATTACAAGAGACAAAATGGTGTCATAATCACTACTAGTGCACCACTGCTTTAGTTTCAGGGCCTCATGTGTTTATTCAATTAACAAATAAATATACTGAATATTTACTGTATCAGAGACACAATGTGGACCCTGGAGATGCAGTCAGAATGGAAACATGTGAGGGCCACCATGTGAGGAATACATGTAACATAACTAAAACACCACATAACTTCCATGTTTCTGCTAGGTGCTAGTGTGGGCAGTGGGGAAGAGTAGTTTCCAGGAAGGAGATTATTGTTCTAAAGAGTAGCTAAAAGACAGCTGGCTGAGAAGACAGCATCTGAAGATGGGCCTGACAAAAGCAACAAACAAGGCAAGTCTGCAGACAGAGGTAAGAGCACACGCCAAGGTTCTGGGGTGAGAGCCAGGAGCATGAGCATGAGCCAGAGAGGTCAGAAAATAGAAGAAGGCAGTCCTGGAGGGTCAGTGTGCAAACCCAATATATGACCTGACTTCCTCAGCCTCGGGAAGACTGACTGGGAGCTAAGCATGGTGTCACAGGCCTACTACCAAGCATCTGGGAGACAAGGGAGGAAGATGTCTGGCTCCAAGTACAAGATCTGTCTGGGCTTATAATGAGCTCCAGGACAGCTCAGGCTACAGTCAGTCAGACACTGTTCAACACAAAACTGAAAAAGGGCGGAACACAGGGACATTGAGGACACCACCCCAGCAACAGACAGAGGCAGGGTACATGGAAGCCTCCACAAGTATGTGGAGGACAAGGACCTTTCCAAGTGAATTTCCTAGGATCTGGCCTTCAGAGAAATCACTCTTGGGTAAGATCACTTTTCATCTGTGACTGCAGGACTTGAGTAGGAAAGATGGGCTTCAGGGATGATTCTGTTTATCTTTCATTTGTTCTTCAGTAAAACACAAGGTGGGCATAAATGCTTTTGAAACCCTTTCATCTCCCTTTTAACAAAAGCTCTACTGCAAAGAAGGCTGATAAAGGAACTTCAGAGTCAGATGCAGCCTTTCAGATCCACCCAGCTCAAAAGCATCTTCTTTGAAACAAAGTGTCTGCCTTAAAGGTAATGGGAAATAGCATCTGGAAAAAGGCAGGAGGCGTTTTGCACCTTACAACAGCTGTTTGCCAAGCAGGAGACCCATGTTCTTTCTGGCCCAACGCTGCCTCTACATTCACTTGCATAAGGATCCCATCACCATCTGAGCTATAGAAGTCTCTTTCTCCATGGGAAAAGGAGACATTTTCCTCTTCAATTAGTGTTAGCAAGACCAATCCTTTCAGACAAGGAGAAAAAGAATCTTAGTGTGAGGGCTTACCTTAAAGAATGTGCTAGCTCATGAACTCGCAGACGCTGAAGCAGCAAGTTTGGGACCTGCATGGGTCTGCATGGATGTTCTGCATATGTTATGGCTCTTAGCTTGGTGTTTTGTGGTACTCCTAATAGTGAGAATGAGTGTTTCTTTGACTTTTTGCATGCTCCTGGAACTTTTCTTCCTATTGGGTTGCTTTGTCCAGTCTCATTATGAGGGGTTTTGCCTTGTATCTTGTTTTATCCTGTTGGTTTTTGCCTCTTGTAAAGCCTGCTCTTTTCTAAAGGGAAGCAGAGGAGAAGTGGATCTGGGGGAGACGGGAAAAAAGAGGGATCTGGGAGGAATGAAGGGAGGGGAAACTGGTATGGATATATTGTATGAAAGAAGAATCTTCTTTTTTAGAAGTCTTATTTACTCATTATGTCTACATTGTTCTGCCTGCATGCCGGAAGAGGGCACCAGATCTCATTACAGATGGCTGTGAACCACCATGTGAATACTGGAAATTGAAATCAAGGCCTCTGGAAAACCAGGCAGTGCTCTTAACCTGAGAGTCATCTTTCCAGCCCCAAGGAATATGTTTTCAATAAAAAAAAAAATCAGAGAAATTCTATTATGTTACAATTTTATTTCAAAATATTCTCATAATTTGAAAGAAAATATTTTTTTCTCTTGATATGCTTGCCTTTCTAAACTTTTTATCCATAGCTTGCATCTGCATATGTCTAAAATATTTTTACAGTCAGTTAGCTTCCATTTATTAACTTTTAGTATTTTATACTGAATGCACAATAAACCCAAATTCTTTGAAAAAAAAAAAGTACTAGCTAATGGGGCTTATGTTGTCACTCAGTTCTCAGTGAAATCAAAGTAGACAATTGCTTCGAAATACTCAGCGCATGCTAAGGCATTTCTATCCATCTTGTTAGTTCTCAATGAGTTTCCTTATAATTATGGCACTGTATTTACTGGAATACAATTTTTTTGTTGCATAACATATAACTTTTAATGGATATTTTAAATGATCTTAACATGCCTATGGGCTCCAGGGATTACACAAACTGCATATAAATAAAATATTTAAAATTCTGTTTACTCAATTTGTCTCTCCACTGATTCTGGAACACAATTCTAAGAAGCATAACCACCCTTCCTAGTCCATGAAATGCTTCTTTTAGATTCCACAAGCCTGCTGTACTGGTGGCTTGCAGAAACTAAGGCAAACATTGTCCCAGTGGTCAACCTTGAAACCAGGTTAGCTATCTGAGATGAGGATCCTCTCAGCACCAATGCCTGCCTCGGGGACCAGCAGTCTCACTCTTTAAAGGGAATACATAGTCCAGTCTTCCTACAAAATTATGTTTAAAGTATTTGCCTGATAAGTAAACAAAATGTTGTACATACCACTCCAATTCTTGGCCATCTTGAACATATTTGCGGCTCTGGTATACATTTCACATGCCTCTTCTATTCTCGTGTTTCCTCTAAGAGAAATTTAAATACGAGGTTAAACTTGCTATTGTTAATAACCATCCACATCTCTCCTCCCTCCCTGAAACAAGATTATTTTATTATTTGTTATGTATTATTTTCATTACATTATTATTGTAACCCTGAAACACTCAATGAGCTCTTCCGTGCATGAGACAAACTAGAGAATCTTAACAGCTAATACTGTCCTTGACCCCAAGTTCCAGATGAGGAAGCTGAGGAATCCTAAGTTTACTGTCCTGGACCACATACTAGATATCATAAAAATGACACCTTTACAAAGATCTGGCAAATCCAGAGTCTACAACCTTAACTAGAGTGTCCCATGTATAAGAAATGCAAGTTTTGGGTTCAGTGTTTAAGAACACTTGTTCTTGCAGAGGTCCTGGGTTTGGTTCCTATTACTTATATGGAAGCTCACAGCCATCTGTAACTCCAGTTCCAGGAGAATCTGATACCCTCTTGATAGGCATACATACATGTAGGCAAAGCACTCATACACGCAAAAATAAATATGTCTAAAAGTTTTAGAAAAGCAAGTTTTCTGTCAAGCTAGGTAATGGATTTCTTGCCATTCTTAACAGTTTAGCACAAAACCTAAAAGCCAGATGTGGTGGCCCAGGCCTGTAACCCCTTGCCTTTGGAGTGGCAAAGGCAAGAGGATGGTGAGTTCCAGGCCAGCCTGAGCTCAATGGTGAGACCTTGTCTGAAAAGCAACCACTCAACCCCCAGAAAAGCCACAAAATTGTCAGCTCTGGCAGGGGCCAGTCTGTTTCCAGCATGAAAGAACCTCAGCGCCCCATCCTCACCAGGTACAGAAAAGCACTGTGTAAACATCTTGAGAAGAGGATGCTTCACAAGCAGCAAAGAATGCATGTAGTTCTAGAAAATTCTTTATTGGGCAGCTAATTCCTACTGATGCATAGCTTAGTTTTTCTTTATTTTTAACTACAAAAATTATTTTATGTGTATAAGTGTTTTGTTGCCACGTATCTTAGAAGGGGCATCAGAACTCTCTGAACTGGAGTTACAGATGGTTGTTACCTACCATGTAGATATTGGGACTTGAACCCAGGTCTTCTGATAGAGCAGCCAGTACCCTTAACCACTGAGCTATCTCTCCAGCCTCTAGGGAATATCTTTATACACTTAGCAATTTCTTCATATATAAAGGCAAATTAGTCTTTGGTGATTCACCTAGAGTTTCTGAATTCAGCTCTGCTTCTAATTAGCTCAGGTCCTTCCATAAAAGACATTTGTCTGTCTGTCTACACTGCAAAAATCAAATCTCAGAGGAACACCAAGGACCAAGAGACTCTGACTGTGTAGCACATACAATGAGGACTTCAGAGTGGAGTGTGGAAACAGAGGTGAAAGGGAGTGGAAGAAGGAAGACAAGCACATCTCAGTAAGCTCAGTAGGTCATGATCAGTGAACTTCTAAAGGTAAAGCTAGGGCCTGTGTGGTAGGATCTTTCTTCTTTGCTCCACTGCCAAGCAAGCACACACCATTCTTCTCCTACCTACAGACGTCCACCATGTAAGAACAGTAAAGGATCACCACACCAGATGGCAGCACCTTGATTTTTCAAGTTCTACTCTCCAGAATTGAGAAGTAGACTTCTCTTCTTCCTTTAAACTACTCAGTCTCAGGTATTCTGATGTCACAAACCAGACTTAAGACATCAAGCCAAGAGTGTTGGGGGAAAGTCAGGAAGGGGTGTCACAGGCAAAGGGTGTGTTGTTTGATTTGGGGATGGCTACTGTCATGGTTGTACAGCTCCACTATGCAAAGATTTTTAAAAATCAGCAAACACTTCAGAGAGGTAAACTACCTGTCAGGTGAATTATATCTCAATAAACTGATACTCCTGCATGCCAAATAAAATAACCTGGGGCCATGTCACACAAGGAATGACAGAGTGTCATCTAGCTGTTCCAAAACTGAAGAGGCAAACCAAGCAATGTTTTTAACCTCAGCCTTTAAATCTCTTTCCTCTACTTCAAATCTACAGTAATTTTTTTCTTTTTAAATATTTATTTATTGTATATACAGTATTCTCTCTATATGTATGCCTGCAGGCCAGAAGAGGGCACCAGATCTCATTACAGATGGTTGTGAGCCACCGTGTGGTTGCTGGGAATTGAACCCAGGACCTCTGGAAGAACAGCCAGTGCTCTTAACCTCTGAGCCATCTCTCCTGCTCTCCCCCTGCCCCCCCACACACACATTAACTTTTCTAAAAAAGATTTATTTTCTTTATGTGTATGAGTGTTTTGCCTGCATTATGAATGAGCACCATTTGTGTGCCTGGTGCCCACAGAAGTTAGAAGAGGGTGCCAGGTCCCCTGAAACTGGAATTAGAAGCTTATGAGTTGCTGTGCAGGCACTGGGAACTGAACCCACATCCTATGGAAGAGCCAGTGCTCTTAGGCTCTGAGCCATCTCTTCAACCCATCTACATCTCTTTTCTTTTCTTTTTTTAGAGCAATGAACGAACAGGCTTCCCTAGTGGAAAATTCCTCATGAGAAGTTTCTCACTTTTAGTCACAGCTCCACAGAGTTAACACAAGCTAGCCTTTTTCCCATGTCTTGTTTTTCTATCAAGTACCAGGAATCTTTAACTGTAATTATAGTGTAGTGCAGCCATTCTTATTAAGTTTCTAAATAAAACTAGCTTAATTAAAATGTACCTTATCCTACTTTCAAGTAGAGATGCAAACAACAAAACTCCTGTGCTGTGCTAAGTTCACACCAGATATTCCACATCAGGCCTCCCCCCCCCCCCCCCCCCGCTATGTATCGTTATAATAACCAGAGGGCACTGCCTTCATCTCACAAGAGACACTGGCATCTGGAGGCCAGCGGCTCACCTTCATCACTCAGCACAGGCTGGCAGTGCGGCTGGCTCCTGACTTCAAATTTAGAGATCTTCGTGAAAAGATTGAATGAGGCAGCTGGATTAGATCAACAGACACTTACCTGTCCTGAACAGCATTACCACAAGCATTCTCAATCCTAGAAAAAGGGGCTGGAGAGCTGGCTTAGGGGTTAAGAACACATACAGCTCTTGCAGAGGACCTGAGTTTGGTTCCCAGTACCCACACTGGGTGGCTCACAACAGCTTGTAACTCTAGATTTGGATCCCATGCCTCTGACTTCAAAAGGCACCTGCACCCATGTACACTTTCCCATGCATAGATACACAGAAGTACACATAAAAATCAGTCTTAAAAAACAAGTGAAGAATGGCTGAGAGGCACTTGAGAAAGTGCTCAACATCCTTAGCCATCAGGGAAATGCAAATCAAAACAGCTCTGAGATATCATCTTACTCCTGTCTGAATGGCTAAAATAAAAAACACCAATGACAGTTTGTGCTGGAAAGGTTGTGGAGAAAGAGGAATACTCCTCCACTGTTGGTGGGAGTGCCAACTTGTACAGCCACTTTGGAAATCAGTATGGAGATTCTTCAGAAAAATGGGAATAATCCTATCACGAGACCCAGCAATTCCACCCTTAGGCATATCTCCAAAAGATGCACATTCATACAACAAGGACATCTGTACCACTATGTTCATAGCAGCATTATTTGTAATAGCCAGAACTTGGAAGCAACCTAGATGCCCCTCAACTGAAGAGTGGATAGAGAAAATGTGGTACATTTACACAATGGAGTACTATTTAGTAAAAAAAAACAATGGAATCCTGAAATTTGCAGGCAAATGGATGGCACTAGAAGAAACCATCCTGAGTGAGGTAACCCAGTCACAAAAAGAGAAACATGGCATGTACTCTCTCATTTATGGATTTTAGACATAGATCTGGGGAGTGCCAGCCTACAATCTTACTGCCAGAGAGTCTGGGAAACAAAACCTTCATTCAATGGCTGATGGAAGCAGAGTCAGACTCCTATAGCTAAACACTGAGCTGAACTCAAGGAACCCAGTGACAGAGAGGGAGGACTGATGACCAAAGGGGTTAAGACTGGGCTGGTTTAGCCCCCAGAAACAGCTGACCTGACAAGGGTTACCTCTTGAATCCCAGACTGATGGCTGGGAATCCAGCATGGGACTGATCAAGACCTACTGAATGTGGACATCAGTGAGGAGGCCTAGGCAATCTAGTGGGCCTTGGGTAGTAGATCAGTATTTATCCCTCACATACAAATGGACTTGGGGTGCCCATCCTACAATGAGAGATGCTCTCTCATCCTGGACTCTTGGGGGGAGGGTCTAGACCTTGCCCTGGATGAAATGACAGACTATGGATACCCCATGGAGGGCCTCACCCTCCCTGGGAAATGAAGGGGTACGGAGGGGGTGGTGGGAGGGCATGGGAGGAGGGGAGGGAAAGGGAGAGGGACCTGGGATTGACATGTGAAGCAACCTTGTTTCTAATTTAAATTTAAAATAATATATATATATATAAGTAATATACAGACTTGAAAAAAAAAAAAACAAGTGAAGAAAGCCAAGCATGGTAGCATATGCCTATAACCCCAATATTTGGAAGGTACAGGCATAATGATCAGGATTTTAAGGTCATCCTCAGTGACTTTGAGGCCAGTCTGTGCTACATGAGAACCTGTATCAAAACAAATAAACAACACAAACAAATAACAACAAAACATCTAAGGAAGACTCATTATCAAAGAGCGAGGAAGAGAGAGAGAGACAGAGAGAGAATACAGTCTGGGGATGTGACTCAGCTGGTAGAATGCTTGCCTAGCACACACAATGCCCTGGGTTTGATTCTCACCCAATCCATATAAACAGTACATGGTAGCCCGTACCTGTAATACCAGCATTTGAGAAGGTAAGGCAAGAGTATCAGAAATTCTAAGTCATTATCCATCATACAATGAGTTTAAGGCCAGCATGGGCAGCATGAGACTTTGTCTCCAAAGCTGTGAGAGGTACTTTAGGAGGCCATATAAAAACAAAAGGCAAGCTGCTGATAGGGTAAAGATTCCTGCCATACAAACCTGGCAA